CCGCAATAAAGGCTCGCCGACAGCGACCGTGTCGGGGGGATTCCACGCTTTACAGATCTCACGAGCCTGATTAAATATTTCGCTATGAACAATTGAAGACGGGTGTCGCCGCTGTGCGCGGCACTGCTGCTCGGTGTGCGGGGTAAACAGAGACACCATCTAAACGCTCCCTTCTGCTTCACGCTCCAGGTTTGCAGCTCTTGGTGTCTTCGGGCTCACTGAAAGCGCTGCTTGAATGGACTGAACTTGACTTTAGCTTCCTGACCTTCAATGCCTGTGTTACCAGAACAGAGGGATTTCTCTGACACACCAAGTCCAAATAGTTTTAATTATTAACCCTAGAATAGGTGTTGTTTCTGTTCTGAAGCAATTAAGTGCCCGTGATAAGAGCACAACTTTCACCATTTTAAAGTATGGAATTAACCTTAATCCAAACAGCCCTTGTAACAGTGGAGGTTGATCATGCAAAGGTGTGTTCTGGTCATGCATGCAAAGGTACTTCACTGCTCAGGGCCTAAGCTTTCAGGGTTGGGTTTTTTGGACTGGTTGGTTGGCTGTAGGACCGTCAGTAGTTTCAGGTAGATCTACAAGATATTGCCAGCACTAGTGTTTTAAAATGCCAGCTATGTGTATGTGTTTAGATGTCATGATCCTGCACGTACTTGACCTGGCTTGGCTAGGCTGTGGGTCTCTAAGCTGGATCACGCTTGCAGGTGTTCTGCATGCTGGGGTAACCCAAGTTCCTGCTGCCGGCTATATGATGAGCCATGTTCCTGTCTGCCAGCCTGGCACTAGGGAGACTGCACCTGCATCTGCACCTTTTGTTTAAAAACTGAAATGAAACAAAATCCTGATATGCAAACCCATTCTTTGGTTGGTTAATGCCACACTGAGTACAAACTTCATACAAGACCTAATCACACCTTTCCTCTTAAACGTCTGGGACCTCAGAAGCAGGGCATGAAGAATCTCTTTATTTTGTGAGCACCCTTGTCTGAGCAACACCAGAATGATCTGCTGGGGAACCAGAAAACAATTTACTATCTCGTTTTTTATCACTAATACAGGGCAGCTCTAGAGAGCTGAATCAGTCCCAAGCCATCAGAGGCAAGGTCTGTGGCTCCATTTAGGGTTGTGTGTCAGCAGATTCAGATTGCTAAATGGATAATTACGGTAACCTTTGGTATGAGTGTGCAGCAGATCACAGCTGCCCTTCTTGGAAGTGCAGCAGGAAAGTCTTTAGCTGGAGCAGCTGGCATGTACTTCCTCCTGTAACTGTGACAGGACTACCAAGCCTGAATATTGTGACTCAAAGCAGAATCATCTAGAGCATGTGCATGTGCCAGAGCTGCATTAGTGCTCTTGTCTCCCTTGGACGACACAGCAGCATTAACTCAACACTGATTTTTCTTGCTGTGATTAGTGTGAGGTGAGGCCCATAGCACTCTCAGCTACTGGGAACTGGGTGAAATGTATGTCTTCCATGAGCAGTTAGCTCAGCAGTCAATGGGTGCAGAACCATCAGCATGCTGTGGTTGATGTGAAAAGTGTGGGCTGTGTGTTGTGCAGGAACCTGTAAGGGTTCCATAATGGCAATTTCCACCCTCCTGGCATATGAGCATATGCCAGTTCAACACTAGGACTGACTCTGGTGTGGTGGCCAAACCGGACTGCCACTGTCCTTAGATAGCAGAATGGAACTCCACTTGCCTGTGTCCATTTAAGGGATGTCCATTTGATGCCTCAGTTATGCCTGTAGCTCTGTTTCATCAAGAGTCTAGTTGCTTTGTAGAAGTCTATGGTAAGTGATCTGCTTTTAAGAAAAACTAGAAAAAGGTTCTGGTTAACCCTGTCCCCACACCTGAAATCATGAGGCATGCCTTATTAACACCATGGGCGTTCACTGTACTATCAGTGGCTGTCAGCTTCAGTGAAGCTCTGAGTTTTTCCCTGATGTGAGTATGGTGTGTCACAGAGCTATAGAGCAAGGAAAAGGTTTTTTCTCTGGAATAGGAGTAGGAATATAGAGAGGTTGTTGCTTTCTGAGTTCTCAGGGCAAAGGTTTTCCTGCTGCTTGATCTGGTTTTTTTTTTCCAGGAGGGAGGGGAGAGTGAGGGATTGGAGAAAATAACCCTCCTCCTCCTTTTGCATGGTTTGCTTCCCTTCATTAAATCATCAGCCATCAAGCTGACAGTGTACCTGCTAAGGGCTCATTCTGTACTGATGTGCTGAGGCAGTAGGAGAAAGGCATGAAAATGGTTCCTGAGTATTTTGGGAATCCTACTCTTGTCCTCCTCTGGAGATAGCAGAGCTATGTGGAGTGCACAGTAAATGCCTCTATAGCCTGGTCTGCCAGCACTGTTCCTCCCACTGGCAGCGAGCACTGATGGTGAGTATCAGCTCTGACTCCTGCTGATTGAGACATTTCAGTGCCAGATGTGTGCTGTGCTTTGAGGATTTTGTGGGACCAGCAGCACTGGGCTCGGTGCATGGGATTAAGATGGAGAAGATCATCCTTGGTGGTATGTAAGAGAGTCCAGGCTTTCTGTGTTCCCTGTGTGGTTTCTGTTGGGTTGATGTCTGCTCCCCCAGTGGATCCAGCAGTGGATCCTTATGCAGGAGGAATGCTTTTTGCTACTTTATAAGGAAAAGCACAGTGAAAGACACCTGCTTGACACTGTGGGTGGAGCTTAGGTCAATGGTGAACAGCTGTGTCCTTGGCATGTACAGGTCAGTTGAATGGTGTGTTCAGACTCAGAGTGTGTTCAGACTCTGGCCCCGCTGGGGCAGGCAGTGCTGCTCTTGTAGGTGACAGTGGAGGACATGCTCCTTCCTGGCATTTCTAACTCATAGCATATATTCAGCAGCTGGTCAAAGGAGGTGATTGTTCCACTCTGCTCCGCACTGGTCACATCACTAAGCCTAAGTTCAAGAAGCCTGTGGACAATACTCTCAGGCACATGATGGGATTCTTGGGGTGTCTGTACGGGGCCAGGAGCTGGACTCAATCTTGATGGATCCCTGCCAGCTCAGTGTTTTATGTGATTCTATGACAGGTTGCTAACCCAGACACCCTGACTTGCAACTCAAACTGTTGCTGATGCTCCCTCTGTATCTTCTTTCCCTGACATAGTTTTCACTTGGATTTCCTCCTCACTGCAAACTCCTGCACCTCTCAAACTGTTCTCTTTGTTACTGTAGGCCTTCTTGAGCTGAAAGGATGAAAATTGGAAATTGGAAAATCACTGTCACTGACCTGAGCTTTATCCTGACTTCTGGAGTCCCAGTTGATGTCGTTGGGCAAATGAGTCTTCAAGAGTGTCCCCTGTCCTTGTCCATGATTTAGGCAGCGGCTGGACATGCATCACTGTAAGGGTTACATGATTTCAGTGCCCGTGGTGACACTGTTCCAGTGCAAGGGGATTAATTGCAAAATGGAACTGCTTACATAAAATGATCCAGAACTTCAGATCCCCTCCCACCCTGAGAGTGTCTTCCTATTCCCTCTTTTTGTGCTGGGCAGCACTGTCCCTGGGCTCCCTCATGCCGGATCAGTCCCTGCCCTTCCCACCATCACTTGCTTCCATCATGCAGCTGGCCTTGGGATCACCCTGACCCAGCGTGAGCACACGTCTGACCTTTTGCACACTGTAATTCCAGAGCGGGATGGTTGGCCACCGAAGCTGCAATGTCGTCCCTGACGACCTCCAGTGAGGGAGAAAACTCCACTCCCAGGTTTGTTGTTGGCTCCAGAGATGATGAGACAGAATTTCTGGGATCAAACATGAAGACAGACGAAACCGATTTTTTTGAAGACGATGAAGAGGAGGAGTCGGTAAGGAGGTCCCAGCATCCTGGGCTGGATCATCTGTGCAGAATCTTTGGGTCTCAACCAGGTTTTGTATGGTTACTGCTGGGGCTGCAGGCAGTTGGAACTGCAGGGGACACAGCACCTGGCTGTGTGGCACAGCTGTGGGACACAGCAGTGGCATTTATGACAGGACACATTATGTCATGCTGCCATGCTCGTGCCTCAGGAAATCCAGCTTTTTTGCTTGCAGGTCTGATTCAGGAAAACTAGTGGATTTCTTTGTTCTAGAGACTTAACCTGACTCTCCTGTATGCCTTTCTGTTTCACCAGGGAAATTTTTGAGGAAAACTGGCACCTGTGAAAAGGGCAAAGGTGTCTCTGTGGAAAGAAAGCATTCATTTTTTCTGTAACCTCCAGGCACGGGACGCAGAAAAAATGCGTCTGACTGCTTTTGGCCCCTATTCAGTGTTATATTAAATGCTACTAAACTGATCTCTTTCTTCCCCTCTGTCAGCCACCAGAACGGCAGATCGTGGTAGGAATCTGTGCCATGACCAAAAAGTCCAAGTCAAAGCCCATGACACAGATTCTGGAGCGTCTGTGCAAGTTCGAGTACATCACAGTGGTGATCATGGGGGAAGATGTTATTCTGAATGAACCGGTGGAGAACTGGCCTTCTTGTGACTGCCTGATATCCTTCCACTCCAAAGGTAACACATCTGTAGCAGTCCTTAGCCTGCTTGAGCTGTGGGCAAGGGAGTTTTCTTTCAGCTTTCCCCTCTGTCCTCGCCCTGTATTTCAGGATTCCCCCTGGATAAGGCAGTTGCTTATGCCAAGCTGTGCAAGCCATTTCTGATCAACGACCTTGATATGCAGTATTACATCCAGGACAGGTGGGTGTCTGTGAGCCACTAAAGCCCCTTCCTTTTTCCTCTGATTCTTCACAGCATGCTGTGGAAACTTCATTTTTCTGGTCACAAAGGAGTGAGATGAGGAGGAAGCGGACCTTAGCAGTGGCTTTTTGGGGTTTTTCCAAAGCATGGAGGGGAATGGCTTTGAGGGTAAAACCATTGAGACCATGTAAAACCATGCTTTGTTCTCTGGTGTAAATGTCTTGTAAGGAGTGGTTGGGATGTAGGGAGTGGAAGAGTTCTCACAGAATAACACTGCCATGACTAAAGGAAAAAGACTAGTTTTGAAGGAGGAGAGCGAAGTGGTGAGATGGGGCTCTGGGTCAGAAACTGGGAGCAAGGCTGGGTCAGAATCTGTGGAATGTGTGTTGGTCAGACACATGAGGTTTCTCAGTCATCTGTTGGTAGATGCCACCAGCAGCCATGTATTTGAGCTCTTATACCCAGGCTGCTTTGATTGTGTGTGGTTAAGGCTCCTAACAGATCCCAAACCTTGTGCCCTGTCTTTGGCATGGTGAGCAGTTTTATGTGGGTGCTGGCAGGCATCTCAAGGTGTAACTAGTGAAAGAACTGGGGTTTGCCCCTTGACACAAGATGGAAGAAGGCTCCTGCTGTTTCTGCCAGGCCTGGGCACTGGACAGCTTGGCATGACAGGGCACTCTTCCAGAGGCTGTGTCTGGGTGGTTGGTGTGTACTGGATGTGCTGCTGTGCTTTGGGCACATGCTGATAATTGAGTGTCCTTGTTTAGGCCAGGTAGAGAGTTACTCTGAGGCATGTATGTCCAGAGAAGGACTAAAGCAAACCCCATAACCAGCAGGACTCGGCCAGAGAGCTGAGAAGTACCTGCAATCTGTCTTGATGCTTTTTTGTGTTCATCTGACTGTGTTCTTCATCAATGGGAGTGAAGTCTTTCCCTTGATGTGTACTGAGAATCTTCTAAACTCTTCTTGACACTTCTGTTATGATACACTTCTGTCCTCTGCAGGCGTGAAGTGTATCGGATCCTTCAAGAAGAGGGAATAGACCTGCCCCGCTATGCTGTGCTTAATCGAGATCCTGACAGACCAGAAGGTCGGTGTCCAACCTCTACTGAAAGCCATTTCCCCAGGCTCTGCTATTTAAGATAGTCTGCAGAGATAGATACTGGCAGTCACCTCAAAGAGGCCTGACTCATAAGTCTCTTGGGTTTTTTCATGGGCAAAGGTCCCAGCAGCAAAACCAGCTGATGGGCCTGGAAGGGGCTGTGGCTCTGCACTAGGACTGTCTCACCTTTCCTGATGAGCTGCTGCTGTGCTCTGTCTTCAGAGTGCAACTTGGTGGAAGGAGAGGACCATGTGGAGGTGAACGGAGCCGTTTTCCCCAAGCCGTTTGTGGAGAAGCCAGTCAGTGCTGAGGACCACAATGTGTACATTTACTACCCGACATCAGCAGGTGGGGGCAGCCAGCGGCTCTTCCGTAAGGTGAGGAGGGGTCTCCAGAGCTGCTCTTGAGGAAGTTTAGACCTTCTTAGAACTTTAAGTTCAAACCCATCTACCTGGGAACCACAGAAAGACATATTTCAGTGGTAGTGCTGACTTCACCTTCCCCATCCTCTTGGTGACCTTTACCCTGCAGTCGTGGAGCACTGTGTCCCTTTCTGAATTGCATGCTGATTTCACCTGGGTTTATCAAGGTGAATTTTTCAAAAACCTTATGTTCCTAACATTTAACACCATTCTTGCCCTTCCATTTATTGTAGCTTGCACACGTGATAAAAGCAGTTACTTATTCCTAGATTCCACAGGAAATCTGCCCTTACTCACTTCCCCCACTGGGCCAGTGAACAGTTACAGCTGCGATGTGTCTTTTTTCCAATCAGTTACACATCTGCCGTTAATAATCCTAAAATAATTGTTCCCTTAGGTAAGATACAGGTATGCCTCTTGAGGTTGTATTCAAAGCCTTACTAAAAATGTAAACAACGTCATCCTTGATGTTGATAAAATCAGTCATGGTCCTAGAAGGAAGTTAAATTGGTTGTATTATCACCTGTCATAATTTATTTTCATTTGCATATTAGTTAGGCTCCTTACTTTGTAGAATTTTGTTCACTTTTTTTGTTCCATATTCTTGAAGTGATTGGAGACAAATTAATGGTCTATAACAACTTTTCTCCTCTTTAAAGCCTGGAAAATGACATACCTGCTGCCTGCATTTTGGTCTCTTTTGTCCCCCATAAATAATGTGTGCTGTAATGGCTGGGGGGCCTGCAATGCTGATCCATAAAGTCTGCTAAATTCTCTGCATATGGGATGAAACTTCTGCTTTTCTGCTTCCATCTAAGAAAAGGATCCCCGTGCTCTTCCCTGAGGTGTTTATTCTGTGCTCTCAGATTGGCAGCCGGAGCAGTGTGTACTCCCCAGAGAGCAGCGTAAGGAAGACAGGCTCCTACATTTATGAGGAGTTCATGCCTACAGATGGCACTGATGTGAAGGTAAGGAAAAGCCTGGAATGGTGCCTTCCTTTGTCAGGCCTGGGGGAGCTGAAGGTTCAGCAGTTCTGCTTAGCCCTGCTTAGGCTCTGGAACGTGCGTTGAAGCTTTGAGGTGCTGACTGTGCAGTTTCGGCCCCAAAGTGGGGAGTGGGTGCTCTGTAGATCACACCGGGAGGAATGTGTGAGGCCATCTCATCTCCTTTTCTGAGTCTGCAGCAGAAATACCTCCTGGAAGCTGCAGTCAGTCTTGGTGGCTGTGTCAGTTGTAACTCATTTCCAGGTGTACACCGTTGGGCCAGACTATGCCCACGCAGAAGCTCGCAAATCCCCTGCTTTGGATGGGAAAGTGGAACGGGACAGTGAAGGGAAGGAAATTCGTTACCCGGTCATGCTGACTGCCATGGAGAAACTTGTTGCCCGTAAAGTCTGTGTAGCCTTTAAGGTCTGTATTTTCTTTCCTGTGCAAGCAGGACTCTGCAAATGTCTGATCTGTGTCAGGGTTGGTGTTAAAACTTGTCATCCTGGCATTTCTCAGGCATGGCAGTCTTCCATACCTGATGCCAGTTGCTGTTCCTGCTGGCTGTGGCAGTTTGCTGGGCAGAGGTGGCTGGGAAGGCAAGAGGGTGTGCAGCAAATGCCCTCTAGGCTGGCAGGTGCCTGGTGTCCCGCAAACATCTGAGCATTTAATACTGGATCCTGAGCATGTTGCTCTCCATCTGACCTGTGCTCATCTTGGTTTTTTTTTTAATTTCCTGCTTTTGTTTATGTGGAAAATTCAGCCTTATTTTCTTGGTTTTTTTTTTCTTTTTCTTTTTGCATTTTGGTACTTGTGTTTGGTTTGTTTTTTTTTTTTTTTTGTTTGTTTGGACTTCTTGTTTGTCTGGTTTTGGTTTTTTCTAGTTTTTGGTTTTTTTTAAAAAATATGGCTCTGGTGGAAATTGATGTTTTATGTTATAGTTGGGTAGAATGAGTATGAGCCTAGGTGTGGTTCCATGACATTCCACAACACGTTCAGCAGTGTCAGTGGAAGAGGCACTGGGCTCTTTGTTCCTGGCCCACTGCAACTGGCACCCCGTGCAGTTGGGCTGATGCAGATTTGGTCTCTTTTGTACCTTGTAGCCTTTTCCATTTAGTGATGGGTGTCTTTGTCTGCAGCACTTCTTGTCCGTGCTTGTCAGTCTGGTTCAAAATGATTGGATTTGAAAGGAAGAGCAGGATATCCAGGAGCTGCTCTGTTGCAGGCCTTTAGAGCTCTGGGAAGTTGGGGGTCAGCCCTGATGGCTTCACCTGGGGGCTTGTGGTTAGGGCTTTTTGTACAGCAGTGGGGGTGTAAAGGTCTGACTAATGGCATGTCTTCACACCTGTGCTAGGCCTGTGAGGTGGGCATGGAGTAGAGGATGGCTGTAGCTGGGCAGGGCTGAACTGGGCAGTGTTGGCTGGGTCTGTGTATGCCCCAGCTGCTCTCCCCTACTGGTTCCTTTCTGTGTGTCTAAGTCCCATATCCTCTTCTTCCTCCTGCAGCAAACTGTGTGTGGGTTCGACCTCCTGCGGGCCAATGGCCACTCATTTGTTTGTGATGTGAACGGCTTCAGCTTTGTGAAGAACTCCATGAAGTATTATGATGACTGTGCCAAAATCCTTGGGTATGAACAATCCGGGTTTTGATGAGGTGGTAAGATAATTCACGGCAGAGTAAAATGAAATGTGGAGTCCTGGTCGGTATGTCACAGCAGTCTGCAGGTGGTTCGTGTGAGTCACTTGTTCAGCAGGCCAAAGCTTGGTTCTTGGAGGAATGGGTTATCTTCAACCCCTGTAGCTCCTGCCTGCATTGGCATTAGCTGTCCTTGTCTACAGCTAGATGTATCTTCCAGGACTTTCCATTGCATGCAAAGTCCACTTGTGGTTTTGGTGATGTGAGGGAAGCTGGTACCCCATTGGGGTGCTCTAACTAGCCCACAGTGTGATAGGTGTCTCTGCAATGAAAGTGGGAGGCAATTCTGTGACTGTCTTCACATCTTTCAGCAGGACTGGATAGGAGGAGGTGGAGAACCAAGGTTATGGATTTTCTTGTGAGTGTTGTATTTTGATTTCTTCCAGAAATATAATCATGAGGGAGTTGGCTCCCCAGTTTCAGATCCCCTGGTCCATCCCAACAGAGGCAGAAGACATCCCCATTGTCCCCACAACTTCAGGCACCATGTGAGTACCTGCCATTTTCTCAAAAGGATGGCAGTGATGGCTACATGAGGGACAAAGTGTGAAAAGCCCTGTCCAAGGGCCTTACGCTGCTAGCAGCATGGCATCCTCCAGCTGCTGTGCTGTTTGCAGCCCTGAAATGCCTGTGGAAAGGCTTAGATATGCACATGGAAGTTGTGATAGGTTGGAGATTAGTTGTAGGTTTGATGAATGCAGATGAGCAGTAACTGAAGAAATTACAGAAACTGCTTACATGGCTTTCAGAGGGTCCAATTCTTCATCAGGACAGGAAGAGATCAGGACAGATGCTGTATCTGGCTGCTACATGGAGAAAGTCTATGTTGAGCTACCAGTGAAACAGGTGGAAACGCTTAGCTGAAATATTCATATTATCCGTACGCTTGGCAGCCCCTCATTTGATACCTTTGGCCTTACTAGTTTTCTAGCACATAAGGCTAAAAGACCAAAGGCAAAAGTTTCTTTGTGATCCTCAGCTTACTAGTACACTGGTATGAAAATGCTCAACTTGGTAGTGTCTGCAGAGCTTGGACTCTCTCTCTGTAGCCACGGCACTCATGTCTGGTTTAGTCTGGGAAGAATTCTACCCCTTTTGAGTAAAGCAGCTGTCAGAAGAATGGAATTGAAAGAACAATGGGAAGCTACTTCCTGGTGGCAGTTCTGGAGAGTAGGGGCACATTTGTCATCTTCATCTTGTGTTTCCCAAGGATGGAGCTTCGCTGTGTTATTGCAGTCATCCGTCATGGAGATCGCACCCCTAAGCAGAAGATGAAGATGGAGGTGAAACATCCCCGGTAAGAGCCAAGGGAAGAAGGTGCTGTACTGCAGGGAAGGGATGAGGGCCTATTTTCTAAACCAGGAACAGGAACAGAGGGCTGGGTACATAGGAGGTAGTACTTTTTCCTGGTCCATCCAAGCAAATGCTTTCTGACCAGTTGCACGAGCCCCCTTTCCCCACCAGGATCCTGACACCTGTGTGAGCACTGGAGGAGGGAGTGAAAATGTGGTAGGTGCTGAAAAGGGAAGTGCTCCACTAAATGGGAAGTTAGTATCTGCTTCCTGGTTGTATTTTGAAAAACACTAATTTTTTTCAGAATTTCTGAAGCAGAGGGAAGAGCCAGCAGCCTGCTGGTTCTCACTGAAGAACAGAGACTGAATGAACACAGAGGGATGACCCTCCTTGTATTATTGAAACAGCGAAAAATGGATCAGCATTCTTTGTTTTCTCTTCAGGTTCTTTGAATTATTTGAGAAATATGATGGTTACAAGACAGGGAAGTTGAAGCTGAAGAAACCAGAGCAGCTACAGGTGAGGAAGTACATTCTGGGGTTGCTGTGTGGGATATGCAGGTAATACAGATCCTGGCGCAAGGCATTTCTTTGGGAGGATGTAAACCTCCAAAAGGGTAATCATCTGTCGCTCAGATACTCCTGTCTCATTCCTCACCCTGTGCACATTCAGCTGGGTGACAGCAGGAGAGCAGAGCAGAGACTTGTGCGGCCTGATCCGCACACTGTAGGATGGAGATGGCCTGATGCAGCTTGCCCACACCAGCTGGGGCTGCCAGTGGTGACAGATGGGTCCATGCTGGGCACTGGGGCAGTTGGTTCTCAGCAGGGCTGTAGCACAGCATGGAGATGAAGCAAACTGCAGTGTGAAAGTTTGTCTGGCCTAAGTTGTGTCTTAGGGAATGATATGCCTCTGAGGAGTGTGCATGGATCTGATGCTGGGCGAAGCTGTCAGGAGGCCTTGCCAGGAGCACCCTGGCGAGTCAGAGGCAGAATTGCTCTCTGCTTTCCAACAGGAAGTGCTGGACATTGCACGGCAGCTTGTGGTGGAGCTGGGAACACACGGTGATTGTGAAATTGAGGAGAGGAAATCCAAACTGGAACAGTTGAAGAGCGTCTTGGAGATGTAAGTATTCCTATCTCGGGGCACTGTGGGTTTGCCTCAGAGCATGTGATATGGAAACAAGCTGTGCTGCTGGTGTCCTGGCCAGGGGGTGCTCAGAGACTGGGGTCTCCTCTGTCCCCTGTTAGTAACTGTACATGAAAGGCACCATGCTCCTCACCTTTTCTCCTTGACATCAAAACATTGCTGATCCTTGTCCCAAGTGTGTCTGGGGTTTGGCTAAACAACTTGAGACAAAACTGAGCTTTCCTGCAGGAGAGAAAATGGAGTCCTGGAGGGACCATGTTGATATGAAGCATTTTGTTATAATTGGAATAAAACTTGTTTTAAATAAAGTTGTCCTGGTGCCAAAAGTTTAGCAAAAAGGAGCTTGGAAAACATGAAAAGATGTTTGTGTCCTCTGAGGTTTTGTACAGTCAAAATAAAAATATGGTGGTATTGACAACTTGTAAAGAAAACCTGTGCTCCTCTCAGGACTGCAGCTAGCTACAGCACACACAGCCAGCGTCTGTGTTCAGGCCATGTCTCTGGAGCAGAGGAAGACTTTTTGCTGTGATTCCCTCCTCTGCTCTTTCATTTGAGACGTGGTTATCCTCAAAGCATCTGTCAGACTGTTTTTTTCTGTGATCTCATTAATTCACTTGTTAAAGATGTAGATGGAGTTTAAAGCCCTAGTGAGGAATGACAGCGCAGAGTGCTCTTGGTGGAAGAGCAATGGAGTTGATCATTGAATTTTGTCTGAGTGAAGTGCTTGGCTTTTTGTAGGGGTGTGTGCTGGGTCAGAGGGAGATGACAAAAATCATGTCCCATGGCTATGGGTGTTGCAGCAGAAAGTCTCTTGCCTGTGCTGTACTTCTGCTGTGTACTGCCTGGGGGCCTCTGGGCAAAGGTTGGGTGGAGTTGATTTGTTTCAGGTGGTTTTTTTTCCCTTGTGACAGGTATGGACATTTTTCTGGCATTAACCGTAAGGTTCAGTTGACCTATCTGCCTCATGGACATCCAAAAGCTGCGAGTGAAGATGAAGGTAAAGAAACCTGAGGGTGGTACCCCGGTCTTTATGCCCGGAGTTCAGGTGTGAGTACAGCTACCCTACCTGTATAAGCCTCTGGAAATGGAAGTGGAATTGGTGACCCATATCTTATCTTTGCTCACACCATAGGAAGGATTGGAGGGATGCCAGTATACCCTGGCTGGCTCTACAGGGCTTGCCCTTCCACTTTTGTGAATGTCAGCCTATACTTCAAAAACTAGTGACTCTGAATTTCCTGCTTGCTGATTTGTTTCCTGTAGATTTTGGGTCAGGCTTGTGTTGAGAACACTGTACGAGGTGCTGATGACAACCCCTTCTTCCTCCCGTCCTCTCCCTCTGCAAGCTCAGATACGAAATCTGATGCAGTGCATACCTGTTTGTCTCCTAGAAGCTCGACGAGAGTCCTCCCCCTCCCTTCTGCTGGTGCTTAAGTGGGGTGGAGAGCTGACCCCGGCAGGAAGAGTCCAGGCTGAGGAGCTGGGGCGGGCGTTTCGCTGCATGTACCCGGGAGGCCAAGGTGAGTTTGTCCAGGTGCCTCTGGTCCTGCCCCATGGCTGCCAGGCTGCCCCGCCCAGGTGAGGGTTGCTCGGGTATCTCTGGCTCTCTGCTGGGATTAGTATTTTTTCTTTTGAGTTGGCATGGTAGGGATAAGTAATTCAGGTGGGTTTTGAACCCAAAGATCCCTGAGCTGACCAGAGAAGTCTGCTGTTAAGCTTCTTGTGTCCTGGAGTGCAACAGCTTTCTTTACATAATGTGCCAGATTCAGAAAAGACAGGTGGTTCTAATAAGCTACATTCTGATGCAGCAAATACAAAACTTATGAATGGTTAGCAAGGAATTTAGGCCAAATGTAGAGAACAGAGGAGATCTATCTTGGAACACAGATAATTCTGCCCTGAGATGGGAGAATAGGGAGGTAACTTCTCCATGTTTTCTTCACCATAATTCTGTGATGCCGAAAAGCGTCTAATACACACACAAATCAACAAGAGCTGAAAGGGAAAAATAAAAAAAAACACTGAGATTGCCTTTGAGTCAGAAGTAATACACTGGATTGATCCGGTGAGCCCGGTGTTGGGTATGCTTGTCTTTGACTTGTATGTTTAATTAATTCAATTTAATTAATTACATCTCAAATGTATTAAGCAAATTTAAATTGGATTGGAGAAGATTTCCTTCTAGAATAAGAAAGAGTTACCTTTGGTTGAAGAGAATCGGGTCAGGGGATGTTTAAGCAAGCTGGACATACATGAACCCAAGGGCCCTGATGGGCTGCACCCACAGTGCCAAGGGAGCAGGCAGGTGTCCCTGCAAGGCCACCAAGGATTCTCCTGGAAAGGGTCTGGGGACTGGGGGAGGTGCCTGAGGACTGGAGGAGAGGAAGTGTCGCTCCTAGCTTCAAATCTGACAAGAAGGGGACGGCTCAGGGAACTGCAGCCAGGTCAGCCTCAGCACAGTCCCTGAGCTGGAGATGGAACAGCTAATTCTGGAGATCATTCCTGGGTGCATGAAGGATAGGCAGGTGACTGTGAGTAGTCAGCATGGATTCACAAAGAGAAGTCACGCTTAACAAACCTGATAACCTCCTACAGGGAAGTGACCCCTGTGCTTAGATGAGAGTCGTTCTGAACAACAGCTTTGTAGACTTCTGCTCCATGTGGTCATTCGTGGAGAGGAAGAGATCTTGTTTTGCAGGGAAGTGCTGTGTTCCTGGGTAGCATTTGGTGCCTGGCAGCTTTCCCAAGTCATACATCTGACTTCTGGCTGGTGCTTGTCTCTGTCTGTCAGGGTGTTCCTCTGAGTTGTGAGCTCAGAGCTGGGAGTGTTGTTCCTGTCTTGTCACGCAATGTGACTGGGCACTGTGCAGAATTCCAGCCAGCAGCAAGTAGTGACCACTGCACTGTCTTTGGAGGTCAGACTCGAGAGCTGCATGAGTTACTTTCCTCCATTACTGATCTGATTCCTGTGGTTGATTCAGCCATGAGAAATAAACTGGCAGTTTGTGCTACAAGGTAATTGTAGCTATATAGGATCTTCTTTGGAAACTTCCCTGCTGAATCACATTCCCTGCAGTTCTGAGGACTGCAGGACCTGCTCTCACTCAGAAAACAAGCAGAAGGAAGTTATTTTTTTTGTGTATCTTCATTCTGCACCAGGGTATTCAGGCTAGCAGAACTACTACAGGCTGTTCAGTAGAGTTCGCTGCAGAATTTGGGCAGCATCAGACTTGACTGGTGAATGCTCACTTTTTTCATGAAAGTGAATTTTCCCAAGTTAAGCAAAGCCTTTGTTACATTTCTAGTCCTTGTGCATAGCTAGAACTGTCTATTTTGGAACAGCATAAGTGCTGCTCATGCAAGTGACTAATTCTGTACATAACTTTGTTACTATAATGAAGTTTGTTAGTCTAAACTAGTATATTCAGCTGGTAATTTTGCAGGTGTGAGAATATTAACTTAATTAACTTAATTAATTAAGTTGTCCTTGGTTCCAGGTGATTATGCTGGTTTTCCTGGCTGTGGCTTGCTCAGGCTGCACAGCACTTATCGCCATGATCTCAAGATCTATGCCTCAGACGAGGGCAGAGTTCAGATGACAGCAGCAGCTTTTGCAAAGGTCTTTCTTCTCTTTTGGGCATCTGTTTGTTCTGCTTCATTACTCTCACAATATGCCAGTTCTAAAGGAAAACCTCTGGTGATGAGGAAGGAGTTTTTCTAGGATCTTCCCCCTCTCTGTTGGATTGGCTGCGGTACACTGTGCTAATAGCAGGTGTATGGGGCAGTACTGAACATCTGGTGCATCTATACACACCTGTCACCTTTAATGTCCTGTCTGGAACAGGAGTCTGACTCAAGAAGTTATGTATGGATTATTGCTGGTTCTTGATGTTAGAGCCAGACACCAGATGTGCTGCTGTGTATTAATGGCCTATAGGATGAACGTTTCCGGGGTGGCTGTCCAGCCAGAGGGGTTATTCATTGCCTGCTGTATTTAAAAGGGAAGTGAATTGTCTTTGGTGCAGTGTGGTGTGGAAACTGGGGAGAAGACAGGTTCATTTTCAACTAAAGCCGAGGGGAATCCTGCGGTGGCCTTAGCTGGTCTTTAGAGCCTTCACTGTATTAACATTTTCAGGCAAACTGAGTTGCTTAAAAGTTGAGCCTGCTCAACAGTTGCCTGGGGCTGCTGCAGGCAGAGCTGTCCTTTGCTTGAATAGCTTTGGAAGCATTCCAGAGTCAGCTCTGACTGGAAGGGATGTTGCTGTAAAGCTACCCTTCAAGGACAGTTGAGATTTCACTTAAGTTGCCTGAGTTCTGGCCATGAAACTACCAGAATTTTTGTTTCTTGGGTTGCACAGACCTGATATCTTGTCGTGTGTGGTGTGGCTTTAGGGTCTGCTGGCCCTGGAAGGAGAGCTGACCCCCATCCTGGTGCAGATGGTGAAAAGTGCCAACATGAATGGTCTGCTGGACAGTGACAGTGATTCCCTTAGCAGCTGTCAACACAGAGTGAAGGCACGACTGCACGAAATCATGCAGAAGGATGCCGAGTTCTGTGAAGAAGATTATGAAAAGGTAAAGTACCAGTGTGGCTTCATTGCTCTCCTGGAAGGAGAATAGCATTGCTGCAGTGGTTTGATGTGAAGTGTGTGGTATGTGAACAGTGGTTTTGTCAGTTGGAGATTAGTTCTGGTTAAAATGACAGGGTATCTATGGAAGTGTGCAGGTGAATAGCCCTTGCCCTCCTTTTAGTGACAGTCCTCAGTGTTGCTCTGCTGTCCCCTTCAAGACTCATCATGGTGCCTTTCTTGCCCTTCAGAATTAATTTCATTCATTCCAGTTCATTTTGGTCTAGGTATGCTAAAAGAGCTCCTGCATGCTGCTCAGATCAGTCCCAGCTGCTGTGGGCAGGGAGTCTGCCTCACTGGATTCTAGATCCATGCTCTGTGCATATGTGAGGAGACCTTTTGGTTACAAATAGTTGTGTCCTGTCAGCTTCTGATAGCTGCAGAGTAGAGAGCATGGGCTGCATCCAGCACAGCAACCAGTGAAAGCACTATTGTTGCTTCCCCAGCAAGTCCCCAAAATACTGTTTTTCTCTGGCTCTGAAATGTGATTACTGGACTGAAGTCCTTTAAGGAACATATTTATAATCTCAAAGACATATTTAAAAGTAAGCCCTTCTGCTCAAACACAGAAGCAAAATGAGACAAGAGTGAATATTGTAGGTAGAGGGAGGTCTGATCTGATGGGAGCAGTTGTTTGTTCCCTCTGAGTTTGATCCTGAAGATTTTAAGACATGCTTGACTGCTCCTAGGAATAGGCCAGCTTATTGTGTTCAGCTGGGAGCACAGCTTTTGTCCCAAGACAGAAAGCAGTACAGCTGCAAAAAGTAGACGTTTTATGTTCCCACTTTGAGAAGACTAATCTCTGCTGAAATCTTCTTGCAGCTAGCACCTACAGGCAGTGCTTCGCTGCTCAATTCCATGACCTTTATCCAGAACCCAGTTGAGGTCTGTAACCAGGTGTTCACCCTGATTGAGAATCTCACCTCCCAGATACGAAAACGTCTGGAAGACCCAAAATCTGCAGGTAAGCAGCAGAACTGGAAAGGGTATGGAAGAGATTAATTTATTGTTACATCTTCAGAGCTCCCAAACACCACTGGGGCTTATGTTTGTCTGTAGCAAAGAAACTGTAAAGTGTAATTCTGTATGTGCTATTGATATGGAAGGCTCCACTTTCAATTACTGTTAAAGAGAGCTGTCACATAAAGGAAATTATACATGCATCTTAGTTTAGAGTAAAGGTAAACAGCAGCAGTATAGCCTGGAGGGGTATGCCTGTGTTTTTTCAGGCCTTTTCTGGAGACTGTGAACAGCAAGTTTTTCAATCACAATTTGCTCATCTCAACTTTCCTAATAACAGTGCAGAAGTTTTACAAAGGCATCTTGGGGACCTGCCATGGGATTTATGGCAGACCTAAGCAACCAGGCAAACTGCTTCACTTTTGTCAAGCATTTCAGCAGTCTGTTGCTGCAGGCTAAAACTCCTGCAACCAGTCCAGTGGCTTTTCCAGCCTAGAATTCCTGTGGGTGACACAAGAATTGGAGCCCTTTCATGCTGGGAGAAGTCAGTCACAGCTGTCATTTGAAATCTCTGCAGCAATAACCAGGGTTCTGTGATTCTGTGGCTCTAGGATGTGAATGTGGTTTGGTGTTCTCTGCTTTTTAGACCTGCAGCTGTACCACAGTGAGACTTTGGAACTGATGCTGCAACGCTGGAGTAAGCTGGAGCGAGATTTCCGCATGAAGAATGGGCGCTATGACATCAGCAAGATCCCTGATATATATGACTGCATCAAGTATGATGTACAGCACAACTGTGCACTGAAATTGGAAGGCACAACTGAACTCTTCAAGCTTTCCAAAGCCCTGGCAGATGTGATCATACCACAGGTATAGCCTGTATGAGATACCTGTGATGACAATTTCTGACCCTTTGCCTTTGTGTTTTGTCTCAATTCTCTTGCACATAAATTCCCAAGACAGCATATCACAGTACAGTGTTTCTCGGATCTGTCTTAATGTTTGTACGAGGCCAAAACGATTTATAACTTGAACTGTGGCAGGGTTGGACTTCTGGTTGAAGATTCTGGCAGGGTCAGAGTACTGAGCAGCTGATACAGCAGCTTTTCCCTGTTCGTTGTAGTGCATCGCAGCACAGCTCCAAGCTGCATGTGTGCTACAGCAGCATTCCATCCTCCACATGCAGGATTATGGAAGTGAAGAGCGATTTCTGTGTTAAAGTTCTGACAAGTTTGTTATTCTTGTCAAACTAGGACTTGTTCAGTTTGTAGTGTTGAGTTGCTTCAGGCAAAGTTTAATTCATATGGAATGAGTTTCTGAGAGCAAGGTCCAGCTGCCCCCGTAGAGCAGAAGTGGTCTAAACTTTTTCAGTGTTGCTGGTGAGATGCAGTCTGTCTGTTTTCAGTGTAGCACTGCAGTTTTTATCTTTGCCAATAGCAGTTGTTGCTTTAATGCTCATGCCAGCTCAGGGTATAAATTTGCATGTCATGAGATCTGAGATTTGCTGGTGGTACTTGCACCTCTCAGCTGTTGGAAGGACACTGACAGTCATGTCCAGACAGAACTAGGGTTCTTGGAAGAGTCTCAATCATCTGGTACCTGCTGTAATACCTGGGGAAAAAAAGTGAAAAGTGTTTAGTGATGTTTCTCTTCCTGTCCTTGCTTAACCAGTGGTGCTGCAGACTGGGCTGTTGAAGTTAAGTGGCCTTTTAAGTGAGGATGTGGCAAAGAATCAGGGCTCAGAGTATCTGTTGTTTTGTTCCTGCAGGAATACGGGATTAATAAGGAGGAGAAACTGGAGATTGCAATTGGCTTTTGTCTTCCTCTCATTAAAAAGATCCAGCTGGACCTACAGAGAACTCATGAAGATGAGTCTGTCAACAAACTCCATCCGTTGTAAGGCTTGTGCTGCATGCTGCTGGCAGTGGGGAGGGCAGCTATGGAGCAGTGGGTGGTTCCCATACCAGAAGACTGTACTGTTGTGCAAGCAGGTACTGAGCATACGCTGAGGGACCCTCCAAGAGGAAGGCATGTTGATCCTCCCAGAACTAGAAGGCAGATAGAGAAGGCCCATTGAGACTTCTGACCAGAAGCTCCACAAGGGCTTGTACTCATTGTAGCTGGATGGTGATGCCTCATCCCTTTCCCTGCACAGGGCCAGTGTAGAGTGATGAGACACTTACTATGTGTCTCCATTAGGATTCCAGAAAATTTATTGCCTTCTGTGCCCAGTGCTCTCATGGTTTGTTCTGTCCTGCTGCCTTTGACATTTCCCAGTGTGGGGTTGTGTCATTCCATTAGGTGTACAGAAATGCTAATGTGTGATGGGTGGCAATTCATTGGCAGATGAGTAACTGTGGGCTGATTTTGGTTTAGGTACTCGAGAGGAGTTCTGTCACCAGGTCGCCACGTTCGAACACGGCTGTACTTCACCAGTGAGAGCCACGTGCACTCCCTGCTCAGTATCTTCCGCTATGGGGGGTTACTGGATGTAAGTGTCCCAGCAATGCTCACAGAGTAAGCCTCCCTACTTCTTTCCAGTAGCCTTTTCCAAGGTGGACAGTGTATGTTTGTAGGTTGCCCCTTAAGCCAGCTCTCCCACTAATGCTGTCCATCAGTGGTGTCTGGCCAGCTCCATCTCTGCTGTGTTTGCATGCTGCAGCTTCCTGCCTTTCTGGCTTGTAGGAGGATTGCTCTTCCTCAGTGCCTCCCTTGCTTGCACAGAGACATCTTTTCTCCAACATCTGTTCTGCTAGTTTCAGGTGAGCAGACCACCTGTCTGGGAGAGTAGCAGTATGAGGCAATGGGGATGAGTGAATTTCTTCTTTACGTCTTCCTTCTACTCTTTATTTTAAGAGCTTGGTCCTGTACTTATAGTCTTCATACAAATTTTTTTAAGTCAATAAAATCAGTTTTTTTACAGAGGGAGAGACTTGAGGTTGCAAATTCAGGATGTGCTGTCTACCAGAGTGGCAGATGACACATTTTTAGGGATTAATTCATCAAACTCACCCTTCACTTTCTCTCTCTTCACCTGCTTCCTGAATGAATTGGCATGCAAACCCTGAGAAAAGACCTGCTTTACTCTTCTCAAGAGGCTCTCTGATTTATCTTCCTGTTTTTAAGCATGGTCTGAAATGCCTTGAGAGTTTGGGCTTGCTTAGCAAGCCAGATTTCTGGCAGATTTGTGGCAGCTTAGCCCACCTATAGACAGTGATCGGAAAAGTGCCTCTAAATCACTCACTGAATAAGATGCTCCCTTATTCCTTGACTCAAGTGCCCAAGGATGCTGTGTTGCCAGCAAAGGGGTATTGGGCTGCATCTGTGTTCTTTGAAGTGGAGGGTTCAGTTCATGTCCATCAGTGTGGTGATTGACTCCATAGCATCATGGGTGGTACTTCAGGTGTGACCATTTCCTGGCAGCGTTGGGAGGCACTGAAGGGTGGGCTGCCCTGCTGTGCAGAGTCCAAGGGTTCAGCACGTCTCCAGATTTTTCATTCAGCATCGGGTAAAAGCATTTCACTTGGTTCCTTATTTAGCACAGGTTCATCCCTTGTGCTCCTTTCTGTAGTTTGAGAATGGCTGTGTTTGGGAAGCTGCAGTGGGCCCTGCTTGTCTCCAGTCAGCATGGCACGGTGGCTTGCAGCTCAGATCTGCACATGGGTGGCGGGGGCAGCTGTAGCATCCCTCCATGCAGCTGCTCCTCACTGCAAGCACCCCACCAAATTGCAAGGTCGTTTCTTCATGCAAGTTAAGCAAGGTGCTTTTGTCCTGACAATGTTACCTTGTGGAGAGAGAGATGATCTCTCTCAGTCCCATTTCACTGAGTGCTGCAAGGTGTCTGCTGTTGCTTATCCCATGCGACTGTTTATGTGTATATATCAGGAAAACAAAGACCAGCAGTGGAAGAGAGCCATGGACTATTTGAGTGCTATCTCAGAGCTGAACTACATGACCCAGATTGTTATCATGCTCTACGAGGACAACAACAAGGTGAGAGATAGAGCAGTAGGATACAGTGCTTCCTGCCCCCTTGCAAGGCACAGTCCTCAGAGATGAGTTCAGCTGGAAGCCTGTAACTTGAGCTCTTGCTGCTTGTGAGCAAAAACAGATGGATCATTAACACAGCTGCTAGTTTTTAGTTTATGTGGGAGGCAGTGACCCAGTTAATGCTTGCTATATGTAAGCAGAATGTCATCCTGAGCAGTAATACTGAACTTACGTAATTAATGCTGACTATTTTAAAGCATTTCCTAGTGTAAAATTATTTGGTTTTAAGTATTAATTGCAAGTGAATAGTAGGAAAAAATAAATAAAACTGAGTGATAATTGATTTGTATTTTTGAAATATATCTAGAAAATATCCAGAAATTCCACATCCATAAACTATTTTTTATTCTAAAAGTGTGCTGATAGGGACATGTGTACTGGTATCTTCAGGCAGTAAAGAGAATAATTTAATAAACAGCTGGAATGTGGGAGCTGAGGGTGGTGGCTATAACTAGATTTGTCACTGAACTGCATGATCAGCTTCTAGTGATCATCGTGATGATCATCAGACGTTGTGACTTGGCTCTGTGCTGCAGGAGGTTGTAGTGGTAAGGGGAGCAGCCCCTTACCCCACACCTTATGGAGTTAGAACCTTGTACTCACAGAGCTGGTGTGAGCTTCTAATGTTAAAAGTGATCCTTGTCAAAAAATACGGGACTAGAGCTCTCTTGAGTGGTGTGGATGTGTCAGTCAGTCAAGGTGGGTTTATATGGGTTTTTATATCATTAGTGTCAGATAACTGTAAAAGCTCTGGCTTCCTTTAAAAAAGGTTAATGAAAAACTGTTATTAGAGAGAGTTACTTAAATCTTGGAATAGCCTGACTGAAGGTCCTGGAAGGAGCCGGTCTTCCCCTGTCCTGGGATGAGCTGGGTTTGCAGCAGGAGTGGGTCAGAAGTGGCTGGGCTTTAGGAGTGTCCATGTGTATGTATAAATAGAGCTTCATTCTGTTGTACTCCCCTGTGGCTGTTGTCCCAAAATAGCAACAGTCAGAATGCCTCAGCTGTGTGCTGATCAGGGCTGTCCTTTTGGATGGGACAAACCTGGAGCCATTCTGTTCATGCTTGCTGCTTTCCCTCCAGAGGAAGGGCCTGGGATGTGTGTTGGCCAGCACGATGGGGTTGGACCTTGACCTGTGCTGTGGCAGGATTAACTGGGTTTGGTTCTTTACCTTTCATTATGTGTGTTCACAGGACCCCTCTTCAGAGGAGCGTTTCCATGTGGAGCTGCATTTCAGCCCTGGCGTCAAAGGCTGTGAGGAGGACAGGAACATTCCCACGGGGTTTGGCTTTCGGCCAGCCTCAGCAGAGGTGAGCAGACACCTGGGCAGGAGCTGCCAACCCCAGAGGATATTTGGGTGCTGTCCTGCTCTGTCTGGCCCTGCTGCAGGAGCTTCCTTGCAGTGGGTGCCCACAGGGAGCTGGCAGGTCATGCCTGTGTCCCGTTTGGGTTCATCAGGATGTCTGCTGGGACTTTGGGTGCCTCCTGCTGATCTTGGCAGAGCAGGAGATCCAAGCCTGGAGCTGGTGTGGGGCAACATGGGCAAAGGCTGTGGGCCTGTAGACATGGGTGGAATGTTTCCTTACAGCAGAACGAGGACAAGAAGGCAGACCAAGGCAGCCTAGAGGACCTCTCGAACAAGAAGAGCAGTGATGAGCCAGACTGTGCTCGGCAGAAGTCCCCACAGCCCTCCGAGCCAGTCAGCATCCAGCGAAGGTCGCCACTGGTCAGGAACCGCAAGACAGGATCCATGGAGGTAACCATGGTAACCCTATAGGTGCCCTTCCTTGTTCTTGCAAAGGCCTTTTACTTGGTTTTGGTTTCTTGGCATTTCTTTTAAAATGGCAGAGTCTGAGTTGATTCTGGGAAAGGATCTGCAGAACATAAAGAGGGATGTTGTGGAAGGCATGGAAGGCATGTGGAAGACCTCTGAAACTCTTCCTTATTGAGGGAGGACAGGAACACAGGCCAGAGGAACTGATGAGGAAGAGCAAGGAAGGAAATGCTTGAGAAACACAAGCATTATGTGAATTACATGCTCTATGGATGCACTGGTGTAGCCAGTGTGAGATTACATGCAACCTCACCACCTAGCTATGGCGACATCTTTGCCTTCTGTTAGGCTCCAGCCTTTGCCTTTCACAAAGGCAGCTCCACATTTCTCATTCCTCCATCCCATATAAGTTCTCATGCTGATCAGGGGTCCCTGCTCACTGGTGGATTCATCCAGGATGTTTAAACTGTCAGGGCTTAGAACTGTCCCATTAACTGGTCTGGTGAAGTAACAAAATTGATTTTACTGTTCTAATCTCTCTCCTTCCAGGCTGTACTGTGTCACAAGGCCAATGTCACAGTCAGCAGGTGACTGTTACCTTCAGAGTACTCTGGAATTATCTCTCCTTTCAGAGGGATTTCACAGGCATTTTTGCCATTTGTTTTCTGAACCAGAAAACAGCAGAGTTAAAGTTTGAGGTATTTGTTAGCTGTCTTCTGTCACTGTATGTTACTCACAAGGTCACCTCTGTGTGCAGCACTCAGAGGCTCTTTGTGATAGACACATACTAAGTTAAAGGGGATATGATTTCCTGCTGCTAAAGAGGCAAGTCTGTGTCCCAGGGATCTCAGCAAGAGTCTTGGGAGAAAAGGTGCTCACTACATGAGTCCCATCATACTTTTCAAATTTCCACTCTTCCACAATCGAACAAAACCTTAAAATTAAAATTGAGCATTCACTGTCACAATCCTAGCATAGGAAGCACCTCTGTGCTTCTTGAAAATGGTGATTTTAGGGGAGAGATATACCTTTCTTTACCTTCAGTTGATGTATAAAGGCTTTTGATAGCAGTGGGTAACTTGGAGCATGATGATGATTAATTACACTATGTCATTGCAGGTGCTGTCTGAATCTTCTTCTAAATCAGGAGGTTATCGCCTCTTCAGCACTTATTCCAGGCAGTCTTCTGAGATGAAGCAAAGTGGATTAGGTACTGTACCTGTCCTGTAACCAGCCTACTCACTTTTACCTTTCTATTTCCATGGGCATTAGTCTGTGTCTCCACATACACATCTGGCTTGAATTCCTTGTATGTGTCTATGTGTTTTGTGTCTTCTCTCAGTGCTCCTGTTGAGACCACTGTAGAGACTGTCTTAGGTAGTGCCTTTTGTGTACAAACTTCCCCTGCAGCTGTTAGGGGCCGAAGATGAATTTTTCATCCTTTCCAGTATGGAGCAAACTGCCTACCTGCAGGCTTGCCTCTGCTTCTGTGTTGCTCTCATTTGTCACACCATTTCTCAATTTAGTAGGAAGTGAAGATTTCAGGTGAGAACTAGTGTGTTTTCTGTTCTGCATAACATCAGTTTGTATGCAAAGCTGTTCTTTGTGTGAGACTGTTCTATTTCTACCTTTGCTTCCTAAAGAGCTGTTGTATGGAATGGATGTGTCACATACCGAGTGTTTGATAGCTCTCTATTCGAGCTGAAGTCCCTGGTCAGACATTCTTCTTGTGGTAGCCAGTGGAAGAGAATATTTCAGGGCACTTGACATTCTCTGTCCTTGATTGTTCCATTTCACGTCATCCTAACCTAAACCATGTCTGAATAGTTGAAATTTTTCCTGAAATATTTTTGCTAAAGCAAGATCTATTTTGAAACTGGAAAAACTGTCTTTGCTGTCATGAGGTTCAGAGATGGCTGTGCAACCTGTGTCTTGAAGAGAGGAGGTGATAATGCCCACGTCATGCCCACGTTTCTTTTCTTTAAAACCATCTTAGCATTGTGGCATGGCTGCAGATCTGCGGCAGTTCTGACTCATCACTCTGTTAAATGGACAACCCGCAGCCAAAAGACTTCTGAAAGGCCCTGCTCATTTCTTTGCTGCTTTTGAGCAGCTTCTTTGGAATCTAATTCTTACCAAGGAAAGGGAATTTTCTTCTGAGTGGTTAGAAAGTATCCCTGGAGTCTGCCAGCTATACTTCCAGCCATCTGGAAAAATCTAAATAGGAATGGCTGATGTATATTATTTTCATAAAGGGACAGTAGCCTTGGCCATGGTAATTTTTGAATGTGTTATTTCACTTATCTCTGCCTTTCCCAGTGCCACTGCGAGAATCAGCAGGCTGTGACAAGCTGCCGTCCTTAGGCTTGAAGAAACCTGTGGCTATTTTGTGAGTCCATATGGATGAATATGGGAATTTCTGAAATGGCACATAGTCAAGGAGATGCATCTGCCTGGAGAATTACTGAATACATCAATTGGTACTGCAAACTGGTTTTACTGTTTGGATGTGTGACTAGCAGAAGGCCTGTGCTGTGGAAGGCAGATATTACAGCCCTTGGACTATAGCCTTTTCCAGGTTTTTGAGGAATGCCGGTTTTGGCAATAGAGAAGAACACTGCTTTTCTACGCCTTTGTGCAGTACTTTTCCTTTACAACAAAATCTGAAATGTGATCCTGGCAGGTTTAATTTCATGAATTTTGCTTCTTGTGCCTTGCTGGGAACTTGTGCTGGTTACTCTCCCACCTGTGAAATTCTGCAGGGACAAAACCTTGAATAGGAGCTGATAGATCTGATCTGTGACATAGACCTCCAGCCCAGCCATCGTTCTCTTCTGTAGAGTTGTGCAGGCATAGAAGGATTGAGCAGGAGAGACCTGTTGTACCACAACAGCTTGCACAACAGTTGATCCTGAACACAGGATATCTGTGTTTCTGTGAGTTTTTTTTTCACCTGAGGCCTGCTATGGAGAACTGTGCCTCTTTACCTGTACAAGTCAAGCTCTTCAAGGAATCTTCCTGATTCCTTTCCGGCTTGTTTTTCAGAAATCTAATTTCTTGCCCCTTTAGGATTTGAAATGTGTTCTCTCTCTAAGAGATAATACAGAACTCCAGAAGCTTGAACTTTGGCTTTAACACTTGTCTCAGCAGCTGTGTTATGAGGGGGTTCATTCAGGCACTACCTGCTGTTTCTGAGTTTTCTGAGGCTGAGCCTACCTCCTGTTGTCTGACCTTGTCAGTCAGAGCCTGGCTGTCTGTGTGGAATATCTGTCCTGGTGTAACCTCAGATGTGTAGGCATGCAGGAACAGGGAGCACGAGAGAGCTCCTGCAATAGCTGTGCCCTGCTGCCATGTGTTCTAGAATGGTACCTCTACAGTAATGTAAAAAATGAAATTCCTCTTTTGAAAATAGGTGGCTGCAGCTTGCTTTGTCTGTGCTTTGGAGCGTGACACGTTTTTCTGGGCAGCATCAAGTTCATTGTTGTGGATTGTTTGCCATAATGTATGTGCTTCTAATTTGAGAAGCCTAAGGATGTTTCAGTACCTTTCTTTGCTTACAAGAACCTTTCAAAACAGAGTAAAACCAGCCAGAGCTGGCTGTTTGAGCAGTAGAAGTGGTGCACTGACAGTGGCACAGAGCCTTGTGCTGAGATTCCCAGAGGGAAACCAAGGATGACTGTTTTTAAACATCTGACACATTGAATGAACATATGACAATTAAATGCACAGTAAATATCCAGCACATATAGTAATTTCTAGCAAGTGTTGCTACATTTAAATCCAAATGGCCGTTGTGTTCTTTAGGGTGTGTGTGTGGGTGTGTGTGTGTGTGTGTGGTTACTTTGGGTACAGTGGTCTTCTGGAGTTCACTGTAGACAATTGCTGTTGTCCATAAAGTCATCTTTGTAAATTCTATTCTGGCTTAAAAGCACTAGCAAAATGCCTCTCTCTGCAGCAGGAGAGCAGAAACACTAGGATATCCTTAGCTTAATGCTTATTAACAGCACAAGGTTGCTCCAAATACACAGTCCTAAAAATCTGATGTTCCATTTTTATCTGCCAGTAAATGAATCTGTTGTGTGTTTTTTGTTGCTGTTTGTTTTTAAACCATGGAAGAGCAATTAGAGGCATCACCGTGTCTGATGCATGACAAAATTTAATTTGCATTCTGACAGATTCCAGTTCATGCTGAGTCATTACTTTGCATCAATTTAAGGTATTAGGAGGAAAATTTCTAAGGCTTGTGTATCAGTGACCCTGCAGGCAAGAGTTCTTTTATGTCCGAGGGCACATGTTTGCTAGTCTGTGCCATGGAAAGCCACCAGCAGTGTCACAGTGGGAGAGCAGCTACAGTTCATTGCTACAAGGACCCTTTTGGTCACCCCAGGAGCAGATGTCCTCAGCTCAGTTGGAGCTTATACAAGAACATTTCAATGCTCAGGATCTCTGTGTTTTCTCCAAAGAAGCTCTGGCGTGAGGATCTTTGCAGAAACACAGCTGAGGTCCTGAAGAGCAACGAGTGCATGTGAAGCAGCAATGTGTCCTCACACCAGGGAAGGCTGACAGCATACCTAGGCTGCATCAGCTGGAGTCCCACTGTCCAGCTGAGGGGTCTGGCTCTTTCCATCTGTTCACCTGTGTGAGTGCCTGAAGCTCTGCTGTCCTGCTCCCTGGGGCGTGGAGGGTGTGTGTGTGTGTCAGGATTGTCAGCCCACTGCGGGGCAGTGGAAGTGGATGGGAAGCGTGGAGCACGTGGCATTGGAGGAGTGAGAGCCATGCTTGTTCAGAATAGAACTTGTGGGGGCTGGAGACCTTAATGCTCTTTCACCACCTAAATGGGAAGTTGCAGCGGGGACAGAGACAGACTATCCCCAAAGCCCTGTGCTGCTTGGTGGAGAACCAGTGAGCACAAGTTGCAGCATAAGAAGTTCCAGTTGCCTAGGAGGAACAAATTTTTCACCCACCATGAATGGGCCAGATGTTAGACCAGGGGCCCAGAGAGGTTGTGAAATTTCCTTTCTTGGAAATACTGACAACTTTTTTGGGCAAACCCTAACAAGCTGATTCGAGTTGGTCCTTCTGGGGTGTTGGGAAAAAAGCTTCAGGCTCCTTCCAACCTAAATCATGCTGTGATGCATATTTTAGAATCAAGAGCTGCTTCCAGTGTAGGCAAGATCTCTTCCATGGTTGCGCTGTTCCAGATAAATACTGTTAGATGGTGTTGCAGGTTATTTTCAGACCTGCAGACAAGGTGGAACCAGATCAATCTGCTTGTTTCTGGAAGTCTTTGGTATGCAGGAGTATTGTCGGTTTGAGCAGTCCATATTCTCAGTACAGAATGCAGCAGCAAGACCATTTAGCAGAGAATTTACAGCAAATCAGTCACTGTGTCTGGCCCATAATAAGGTTTTTTCTCGACTCAAAATTGCTTTCCTCAATCAATTGAAAGAATCCTCTTTCAAATGCCTGGTGTTCCCTAAATATCACACAAAGTCAAGTCAGTCTTCAAAGCCAGTGTACCTTGGAGAAGCAAAGCCAAAGCCCCAGGATGAGATTGCCCTCCCCCTTGCATGCCATGTTCCTTAACACTGGTTAGGCAGAGTTCCATGCCGTGTGCACATCTGGTGCTTTGCAAGGCTGGGTCATGGACAAATTGCTCCTGAGCTGGAGCAGTGAAGCATGACCGAGTGAAGTCTGTGAAGTGCAGGCTTGTGAGTGTACTGTCACTCTGAGGTCACTGTACTTTGTCTACTTGTTTGACTGGAGATGAATCCACACAGGCTGATCCACGGATCAGACAGTTCTTTCCTCTCCTTGGTGTCCTACACAAAAAGGAGCTTTCCAAAGAGAAAGGGCAGAAGAGCAGAGCAATGAACCTCTGTGACATGAACATGAGTGGTTTGGCATCCTGACTTCAGGATGATGTTCTGACATCAGTGTGTAGCTTTGCTGACTGAAAGGGGTGAAGGTGTTTCTCTTAGGTCAGGGCAAGAAAGCCAAACAGAAGTAAACCCCTGGATGGAGTTAGGGACTTTCCTGGTGCTGAGGTTTGGGCTACCTGCTCTGCATTTGTCACTGTGGAATTTAGAATGGAGAACATGGCCTCCCTGTGCTTCCAGGCATCGTGTTTTTTCCTGAAATTGCTTGTGAAGTGGCCGGTTCATTCTTCATCCTATGACTAACCCTGCTTTTCTGTAGTTGCATGCAGTGGATATGTGTTACTAACACCTTCCCTGCCTTTCCAGGGTCACAGTGCACCGGGCTGTTTAGCACCACTGTGCTGGGAGGCTCCTCCAGTGCCCCCAACCTCCAGGACTACGCACGCAGCCATGGCAAAAAGTTTGCCAGCAGCCTGACATACAAAGACGGTATGTGTGTTCCCTGGCAGCAGGGTGATACTTTGTGGACATCAGTGTCTCACGATGTGCCTGTGGCACAGACTTGGACTGAAAACTGTGACAGTTGAATGTGTGTATTCACCACATCTACAATGATAAATTTTACCATATCCCAAGAAATCATGATCCTTGCTAGGACAGAAAGGAATTGACATTGTGAGAGAAGTTTAGTCTGATGTGTGGTATTGCTGGGCTCTGATTTCGGTCTGATGTTTTAGTAGTACTTGCTGTTGTGAAGGGGGATTTATTGGTTCAGATGTCTAGTAGGTTTGTCCTGGTATGGGAATCCAGCAGATCACATCATCTTGCTTACCTTGGTGATTGTGCTAATGCTAAATGAAGCTCTTTTTGGGACAGTAATCTTTGCCCCATGGAAGGTGGAGCCATCCCAAAGAAAGAGTGATACCCTTGGGCATGGATAAGATGGGCACTAGAGTGAGGCTGAGCACACAGCAGAGTCTGAGGTAGCTCTCAGGAAGTAAGGGCAATATATATGCCTGAAAGGCTTGATGTGAGTTGCTTGGATGAAATAACTGCACAAGGACTAGAAAATCTGTTTTCTGTGCAGCTGTGCAAAAACTGCCAGGAAGGTCAGCAAGACAATCTGGTGAAGGCATAGGGGCCAAGGTTACAAACGTTGCTCTGTGCCCATGGGTGCAGGTGCGCCTGGTGATCTGCCTGCAGCACTTGGTGTCATGTGCAGGGAGCAGCAGAGGGTGGTTTTCTGCAAGGAATTTGGGGCACAGGGACAGACTGAGCTGTCCTGGAACGTCTGAAGGGTGTAATGCACAAGTGTCCACTGTGGTCCCAACAGGAAAGACACTCAGACTCTTAAGTACTGGTTGCCATACCATTTGTTGTGGCACTGATTTGAGGAGCTCCGTGAGCAGGGTCTGCACAGCGTACTCGGATCAGGCTGGAAATCCACCTACGGTTTCCCAGCGTTTGAATGGATGAATGTAAGGTTGTCTGTCTTGGATGTCTTATCTTTTTGGTATTTTAATCAATAAGAATCTGAGTTCTTTTCTTATTGGGATCATAAGGATCATAAGGAACATTAACATTGCTGGATTTCAAGGTGGGAACAGGATTAAGGCAGCAGTTTGGGGAAGACAGGAGGTTGGTTCATCTGGATTTTTGTCCAGTTTGGAGGCAAGGAAAATGGCCTAGCAAATCAGGATGGAAAGATGTCCAATTCTCAGCCCTGTTGGGGCTGAGAATGGCACTCTGTCGGTGCCATTATGTACACTAGCTGCTTTTCTTGTGTAAGAGAAAACTGAGCTGGTTCTCACCTCCTAAGGGCACTTCCTGGCACACAGTGGGCTGTCATTGACAGTGGCAGGGAGGGTGAGGTGGGAGTGTTCTCAACCCCACTGTACCAGTCTGAGCTGCCTCAGGCAGGCAAGTACTGGCTACTCACCGGTTGCAGAATAAGCTGATGGTGTTTGGCACAAGACCAGAGTGTGAGTCACAGTGGAGCCTCTGAAAAGGCCAGCAAAGGCCCTGGCTGCTCTTCTTTCCTGATTCTGCAAGGAGTGGGAGCCCAAGGCTGCACTGATTCTCAGAGAAAAGCATCAGAGGCTGCTCTGTGCCCAGCTGGGCATGGAACAGACCTGCTCAGTCCTGGTGCTGAGCTGCCTGTCTCTATAGGCTGTGTGGCAGGATATGTCTGCAGCAGGCTACAGGCATTCATGGCCATGGACTCCTGCTGCATAAGCTTGAATTCAGTGACAAAGTCTCTGTGTGCTGAGATGCAGTTGTACCCTCAAGTACCTAAAATGCAGACTTAGTTGACTAGGGTGTGTCTAACACAACTCAGAATTATAAATCGTGACGTTATGCCTCTGTTTTCATGTTCCTTGGCATACCCTGGGACCCTGTGCTGTCAGTGCCTTGCTGCAGTAAGAGCATTGGGAGAGAAGGTGTCGGGGGCTTGGGAAAACAAGGAGGAAGCAGAGGGACTTTTAGCTTTTGGGGAAGGTAGTTTGGAATTGAGCCCTTGATCTGCATCTTTCTGCTTAAATGAGCACTACTGAAATGCTGAATAGTGGAATTGAACCTAAACATCACTACAGGTGGTTGCAGTCAGTGGAACTACAACTACAGCAGACTCTTGGAGAACATTTGTTTCAAGACCTTTTCTTTAGACAGACTAACAACATTGAAAACCAGCACATTTTTGCATGAACTCTTCAATAGTTTTTCATAGTTGTGATGCTTCAAGGTGTGGTGTGTGGCACATAGCACTTCACCAATGTTAACTTGCCTTGTTCCAGGGAAGTTTCAAGGGCCCTTATTTCTGAAGTCTTTTTTGCTTGGAGCTGGAGGAGGGCTAAGGAGCACTTCAGCACAAAGTTTTCTCAACCTCAAGCTGAGGGAATGTCCATGGATGGTTGTGATTTCAAGTTGGCTTGCCTGAAGCCAGGGATCCAGTAAACTGGGTCAGTGCCATTTCAGTTGATGTGCCCTCAGGGCAAGGGGAGGGGTGGGTGGGATGGAGATGGTGGCCAGCTGACTGCAGCTCCAGGGCTTAGGCACTTCCAAGGGATTGCATGTGTAGGGAAGATTGCCATGCTGTTTGTTGAGTTTAAAGAAAGAAAAACAGTTTTCAAGGCTAGTACACTAGAGGAGGAAATTTCAGTGAGAGTTGGTTTAGATACGTTATTTGGCCAAGCCCCTGCATGTGGCTATAGGAGCACATTGCGGGTGTGGAGCATGCATTGGTGCACTGGTGAGGGGGATAGGCATACACACCCCATGGGCTAGGGAGAATGGATGCATGAAACATGAAAGAGAAATAAAAGCATTTTCTACTATTTCCTGAAAGATCCCAAATAGCAGCAAAAAAAGTGATTAGCCTGGGGTGTCATATCAAATCCCACGTATAGATGGTCTGATCCAGGCCATTCTTTTTCATGATAGCCGAGGAATTTCCAGTTTGGGAAAAAAAAGAAAGTTTCCAGCTTCTTTTTTTTTTTTTCTTGTGTGTGTGTGCGTGCATATGGAGCCTAATCCATGTCCTTTAAAGCCTCTCTGTTTGCACCCCATTAGATGCACAGTGTCTGTCCTTGCACAGTCTTTCTGATATGTGATTTGTATGGGAGAGCTTGGCCTGGCCTGGGGCATGGCCAGGAGAAGCCTGAGGACCACTCTGACAGGTGTGTCCCAAAGCTTCCCTGTACTGAAATGTTCTGAGCAGAGAATTGTAGAGGCATGTCTTCATGGGTCTTTTGCTTCTTCCCTACTCAGGTGGTTTATCTTTAAATTCATAAATAGCTCTGTATAGCTTGCATTAAGAGGTTATTTTGAGCTGTACCTGTGCTGCAACTCTTTGGTGCCTCTGCAGAACAGTGTTTGTTTTCCCTGGGCAGAGGTGAATCCTGAGAACCATCCTCCGGTGGTGCTGCTACTTGCTGGGACGTGTGCTCTGGTGGCTGCAAGCATGGCTTGGCTGTATTCTGCACTGGACTGAGCCTGGTGTGGTGGGAAGGTGTGAGTTGCTGACTGAGAGTGATTGAGAGTGTGGCTGAGTGTGTGGTGCTGGGGAGACCCTGGCAGGGCAGTGCAAGGGCAGGGGAGATGCAGAATGGTTCGGTCAGACCCACAGGCGGAGTGCTGGGTGCGACAGCAGTGCCAGTGGGAGCAGCTGTTGTGGGGGTCAGGAAGGTGAACCTGAAAGTGTAATCAAGTGTATGAAGGTCGGGGGATCCTTTGAAGCAGGCTGTTAACTGAGATGATCTGTTTTTATTTCCTCAGAGCTCTTGTCTATGCCAGCCGTAAAACGATTTTCTGTGTCGTTTGCAAAGCATCCGACTAATGGTATGTTTGCTTTCTGGATTTGATGTTCCCTCACACTTCTAACCCCATGCTCACATTCAGTTTTCTCTGCACATGTTCTTCTCTTAGTCTTCTTGTGGTATTTTTGTGTTTGTGTATCTGGTGTCCAAACATGCTTCACCTTCCTCCATTGTCTCCTTGTGAGTAATGTGCTCACTCATACCCTGTTACTTCTCAGTGACGCCTCTGTTCTCCCCTGAGGTGTTTCTGTTCCAGGTGAAAAGGCAAAAGCCATGGCTCTGTGAGTGCTTTGCTAAAGCAGCCTTTAGCTCTGTGATGACATTAAGGCCTTTCAGAAGGGTGTGGACCAGGGAGAGAATACCACTGGATTGGGGGCTGATGCCCACTCCATATCATGAAGCATCAGCAGCTTAGGTCCTCAGTTTCTACACTGCAGATTTGCAGAATAAAAACAAGAATAACAGTAGGACAGCTGTGTGTCACCTGGAAGGGCCTAGTGTATATGGGAAAGAAGGAAGTGCACCTGGTTTTACATGTCAGGAGTACTTATGGCTTCCTGCTGTCAAACCTCTCTGTTAGGCTGCTCCTGTGGTTCCTCCAAGCCTGGTGATGTTGGCACAGGTAGGCTCACCTTTTCTGCAGACATTACCCTGTGAATTGTGTCTCTCCAGAGCTCTTACTTGTCTGCTGTTGGTGGATGGTGCTGGCTTGTGGGGAGGGGATAACCAAGGTGCTACTTGGGATGGCATCACCTGCTTCATCCCATCCTGCCTGTATCTCTGGAAAGGCTTGGTGACAGATGTCTGACAGAGCAATTCACTGTCTCTGCTCCGTGTTGCTACTTGTTGGACAACCAAAGTGTGAGTTTGTGAGGTTATAGGCCACTAGCTCTGTTACAGCAGGTGCCTTGAACCAGTGTTTACTCCCCAGCTCTTGCACAGATACTTGTAAAAGGTTTCACAGCACCCTCCTCTTGCATGGCTCCTGCTGCTGAGACAAGTTGGAACCAAAGGAGATCACTGAACGCTACCAAGTATTTCTGCCTGATGTGATCAAGGCAGCCTGTGAGTATGAAGACATCCTGCTTGGTGTAATCTGGAAGATGAAAGGAATTCAGAAGACTGTTCTGAAAATCAAAATTTTGGGAAGGATGAAATGGGAAAGGGCAGCTCACTGTGGCTTTACTGTTTCAAATAACTAGAGGGAGCTTATTCTCTGCTTGCTTGGTTTTGGATTTCCCAGAGTGGCCAACTGCTTGGTTTGTCTGTATGTCTGGACACCATCGGAGATCGCACGGTGTATGTCAGCAGGGTGTGTTGTTCTATCTTGCCTGCAAAGGTTGTACCAAGTTCCAGCCTTTCCTAAGACATGCTATAAAGCAGTTGCCCCTGCTCCAAATACAATAGCATCAAAACCGGGCATCATGTTTCTCCCATAAACCAAATTAATATTTCTGATGGCAAAGTGCTTCTTAATCAAGAAAACAAAGACAGGGTCTAGCAAGTGAGAGCTCAAAGTTAGGGATATTTGGTTTAGGATTGGTACTGCTTTGAGCAGGAGGGATGTTTACCCCATGAACCACTTAAAAAACTGAATCAAAAAGTGTTCCCAGCTCTGAGTCTGGATTTTGTTTCTGAAGAGGTGCCTCTGTGTGGAGAAATGGAATGGATGAATCAGGGTAGTGGTCAAGCACTGCATCAGGCCAGATAGTTTATGCCCTGGTTGCACAAGTCTTGGGTGGATGACACGAGTCCTGAGGCTGTGTATAGGGAGAAGACATGCCTGCATGCTGGTGTCTTGTCTGTCATGCAAGGACATCACAGGAGATTGCACAGTGCTGTTCTCAAAGACAGGGAAAGTCAGTGCTTCTGTGCTCCCTCTGTTCTTGTGCACTCTCTGCATTCAGCTCTCAGTCAGACCCTGCTGCCCCCCAGGTCCCTTGCACAGCCTCTGCTCATTTGATGCTGGGCCATATGCCCTTTCCTCGTGCTGATGTGCCTGGCTGTGCTTGGATGCAGGACAAACACTGTTAGCAGTCTGGATTTCTTGTCTCAGCTGCAGGAGGGCCAGTCTGGCCCTGAGCCTGATCGTTTTATCTAGGCAAACGTGAACTGCATTGGACTTGGAATGTGTCCTAAAAATTATTCAATTCTCAGACTTTCCCTTGCAAAAATGAACCCTTGCTGCTCAGGCACTGCCCTGTGCTGCAGCTGGGCAAAACCTGGGCTGGGTGGGAGTCTGCCCTGGTGTCACTGGGGGGACATAATTCTTAAGGGCATTCCTGACCTGTGGGAGGGATTTGGCTCAGTGTGTGTGTGGGTCCTTCTTACGCAGCGGCCCTGGTGCTGGCAGCTCCATCCCCACATCTCCACAGTTTCTCTGTCCCCAGCTGTACCTGCCCCTCTCCTCTCACTCTCTGTGGCCCCTCTCCTCCAGATGTGTTGGAGCACCAGCACGTTGCCCAGTTGCTACGGCGTTTTTCCTCTGACTGTGCCACGAGCCGGACCATCTCCTTGGATGCCACCCTAGCCCATCACCTGCAGCAGTGCTCCTACCACCTGCGCCTCTTCAGGAGCTGGCTGATCTCAGGGCAGGATGACTTGGAGTGTCTTTACGGTACTGCACGCTGCAGCTGCCTCTGTCCCGTGCTCTTGTAGCTGAGCAGGGACCACTGTCTGCTTGAGAGTGCAAAGTATGCTTTGCTTCTGAAAAAAAGAAAGCGTTTCCCTCACCAAATGCCCAAAGTCTCTGGGCTGCTGCTGCAGCAAGCTGTGTGGGCTGTTGTACCAGCAGTCTTGGAGCCTTAGGCAGGAGCCTTTCCACACAGAGCCTTCACTCCCCATGTGGCTGTAACTGCTCTTTCCATCTTTGGCAATTGTTTGTTGCCTCCTTCCTTTAGCCAGGGTAAGCCCTTAAGCTCCCTTTGGGGTAGGTGCTGAGCTTGTATCGATGGGATGCCCTGCTGGCATGGATGCTCTGTGCAGGTCTTGATGAGCTGCCACAGGGTGTCCCCTTAGCAATGGAGGAACCAAAGTGAGTAGTGAGAGTACAGGAAGAAGAGATTGAAGAGGTGCTGCAGCTGGTCACAAGCTGAGTGAACTTGCTGTGGAAATTTTGGGGAAGTGAGTGCTTGTGGGTGTGTTGTATCTAGAGAGACTGAGTTAAGACAAGGTAGAGCTGAGCTTCTGTGTGGCTGCACTGCATGGCATCTGTGCTGCCTGGTAGGGCCTCTCAGTGTGTCCTGTCTCTGGTGGGAAGAGGTAGGCAACTTCAGCATTGAATGCAGATGCTATAAATCAAAGCTCGCTGCTGTTTCTCTGGTGTTTTTCAGCCTCCACCACAGATGGGCAGTCTGGTGCTTGGAGGCCTTGGTGCTTCTCACACAGGCAGAAAGATTGCTGCTCCGTGAAGGAGGCAGCAAGCTGGGGCTGGCTGCTGAGGTTTACCTGTGCCACAGGAGCTGCTGGGAGCATGTGGCTTGCTGAGCTGTGTGGTGTGATGCATGGACCCCCTTTTCCATTCAGACCCACAGGTGGAACGGGCAGTGCAGCCTTCCATGTAGTGAAGCAGCAGGACGGAGCATTTTCAGAGTCTGGAAGATGAGAATTTTTCTTACACAGTCTGTTTTCTCTTGATTAGGCCCTTTCTGTCAAGCAGGCAATTTGGAGACAGTTAGTTGCTTTTCACATGTAATTAGGACAATTCCTTGGTCTCCTGGAAACAAATGCTAAAGAGGAGCAGAACTGCTTCAAGGGAGGAGATTGTGGGTCACAGCAGATTGCTCCAGTCCCAGGGCTGAGCTTTTCCCTGCTGAGTCTTGGCCATGTTCACGAGCTCGGGTGGGGAGAAGAAATGAGCTCAGTGTTTGGACACAGCAGGCTGCTGGGAGGTGCATCCTGCCCCAGTACAGCCAAACACAGGCATAACTTCTTGCCAGCACAGCAGCCCTCCCAGCTGGAAATCAAATCTCCACCACTGAGTTCATGCTGTTTTCCCAGTCCATCAGCAAGCCCACAGTTCATTGATGTTTGGGATTCCTGCTGAGGCTCTTAGAGCAGACACAGTTAACAGCCCAGGTTTCTTCCTTGTGAAAACTGCATTATTCTGTCCTTTCTTGACTTTCCACTGTACTTCTATCCACACAAAAGAAACATGAATTAGAAGATAGAATCAGTGAGTCAAAAGTATGCAGTTGGCACCTGTAGTTGGAAAGATCAACAGTGGAGCCCTGAAGGAATGTCTGGGAACCTGTGTGGTCATAGCTGGGAAAAAGAATAGTGTGAAGTAAGTTCATGTTGGTAATGAATCACAGTGCTACTGAAGCCAAGGTCAGCTGTGGACAGACAGCGGCCCAGTGATGATGAGCAGGAAACTAGCAGTGATGTCCAATGTAAATAAATTTAAATTACAAAGGCAAACAGCCCCAAACTCTTATGTATAAAACAGTGGGCTCTGATCTGACCACCACCACTTGAGACACTGTGGAAAAGGTAGAAATTTGCAAAATTAGAAATCTGGGAAGGATGTTTGTAATAGTGGTCTGAGGGGTGGGGATCCACAGTTTCATGTAGTTCCAGGAGCAAGAAGGTTTCTAATGGAGTGAGTTGAGACACTTCACACAGAAGTGGTTTTTTTCCAAGCTCCATACCACTGTATCTGGGGATGTTGGGAGCTTAACTGAGTTCAGAGGGAGATGAGAATATGGGAGAGACACACAATGTCCAGAGTAATTCTGAGCTGTGGGTCACTGATGTTTGGGGCAAATGACTAGATAGTCACATATGCTGTCTAGACTCATTAACCCTTCATATACAATATACACGTGGCATGTTGGAGTTTGTCCAAGAAAATAGGGGTGGACTGATCATGGATGTCAGAGAGGAGCCTGGTGAGTGCTTTTGTTTGTGCTGAGACCGGACAAGTGCTTCTTCACTCCAGTGGAGCTGGCACACAGAACTTCCTTTGTGGGCTGCTGTTGGATATTGGTACAAAATGGATGGAGTTCTGTCCAGTTGCTTGTGCCATTATCTGCATCACAGACTCCTGCCCTTCAGGCCCCAGGACAGAGTTTGGGGGAGCATTAGCAGTAGCTGCACTGTCAGCACAGGGTAACTCAGTCTGGGATGGTTCCTGTGGCTTGCTCTCACATTTTCTTGCCCCTTCTCGAAAGGGTTGGTTCTTTGCTAACTGTGTGTGGTCCATCACTGGCTGGAGCCTTCACTGCAGACACATGGGGATTGTGATCCGTAGTGGTAGCTGCTGCCTGAGCTGTGCTGTGGTGCTGTGAGCCACCGTTGGCCTCTCCTCAGCAGCTCAGCAGGTCTGTGGAGGTGTGCAGGGAAGTGGGGTCCCATACACAAATGAGAGGGATTCCTTGAAGCCAGTACTCCTCCACCTTGAAAGAGGAAACTTTGGCCATTTTACTCTGCTTGCTTGAGAGTGGTGCAGTGGCACAGCACTGTGCAGAGCTGCGTAAGGAGGCACCTGGCACTTTGGGGATACATCAGCTCTGTGTCAGTGCCTAATGTTTCTTTTAATGTTGGACCTTTGATTTCCTCATCTTGCTAGAGGGGAACCCAAGGACTTAGTTCCTAGTTGGTGCCCCCAGTGTATCTTATAACAACATTGCTTTGCCCTATCTTATATTTAAACTTCCTTTTTTTCTTTAGAGACCCCAATACCTGAGCCAACTTTGGCCCCTATCAAATAAGATTCTGTTGTGAACTGACATCAGCTTCAAACTGGGCTGCTCCACAACTATCACACATGATTAAGTTTTGCCCTCACCCTTTTCCTTTAGCTCTGTCTCCCAGGAGGCCTCTGAGAAAATAAGGAACATACATTCTTCCTTGCTCAGCACTTCCACTCTCAGGACTTCTCAGCAACAGACAGAAGAATGTGGTCTCTTTCCCGTGTCTTACGTTTCTTCATCCTAGCCGAGGACTTGTTATCCTTCCTGCCTTGAACTATGTTTGTAGGCCCTTTGTGGCATAGGTAACCTCGTGAGCTCTCTGGAGGATTCTTTATCTCCGCCAGCTGTTATTTATTTATTGCAGTGAACACCTTCATGGCTCATGCTCCTTGCCTCTTGCCGGACTGGCTTGGGGGAGGGTATTGGAGTAGAGCATTTCCTGGAGGTGACTGTCTGCACTACACATACAGGTGCTCTGGGGCTTCTCCTGAGGTGCTCCCAAGCTGCAGGAGTCAGTTTTATCCTATCAGCATGCCGGGCAGACATCCTACCAGAGATTGCATCAATAATTCTTACTTGCATTTCAAAATATTTTTCCTTCTCTATAGAAATAAACACAGTTCCTTTCCGGAGTCTTTTTGAGGTCCTTGGAGGAGACTGGGGGAGGGGGTGTGTCACAGAATGGGAAGCCCAACCTTGAGTAGTTGAGAGGCCATTAAACTTGAGAGATGCAGAGCATTCCATATACCCAGGGACTCATCTGTTTCTTCTCTGCTTCTCTGACAGTTCATGTTGGCTTGGTTCCACAGAGAATTTTCAGGAAGCTGAGATGAAGAGGAAGATACTTTGCTGTGATGCTCTGCTGGCTTGAGCAGCAAAGGATTTATTCTGAATGGTTGGGATGCAGCTTAGCTCTGAGCAAGTGTCTGTTACATGCTGAGGTGCCTATTTCTGCTCATTCTGGGTTTGCTGGCAGTGAAGTCTAGTTGAGGGGACAAGTAATTCAAATGATTACCCAGCCCTTCCTTTGGACACAGCCTGTCAGGGCTGCACGGGGGCTGCTGTGACAGGGAGGTTCTGTGGCTCCTTGTGGCTGCCACAGCATGTGCTCCCTGCTGTGTGGAGAGGGGGGCTGTGCCAGGCAGAGGGGCCCCAGCAGTGGGACATCTTTTAATGGAAATTCTGTCGGCACCACTTTGATTCTGTTTGGCTTCCATAAGTGGGAGCACTGTGCCGAGCTCTGTGCCAAGTTCTCTGTCATGGCTGTGTATTTTAACTGTCCCAGGCTCAGCAGCTAAAGTGGCAGCTGCCAGATATTTTTTCTCATCTCCCCTCCATGTGTACCCAGGTGCTTGCTTTCAGATCTGTTACTGCATGGGATTGCTTCGTGGTGATTTTCTTGGGCTAGAAGAGATGACCTGAGGCCTGAGTGTGCCTGTTGTTTGATTCCCAGAGTGCCCAGCTCCTTCAGCCATGAGTGTTCCTGCATGGATTTACCCTGCTGTTTCTTCTATTCATTTTCTGATTGGGTCTCTTTCCAGGTTTTGAAGGCTGTTCCATGGTTCCCACCATTTATCCCCTGGAGACTCTGCACAACTCCCTCTCTTTGCGGCAGGTCAACGAGTTCCTGACAGCCGTGTGCAGGAGTTGCAGTGAATCACATGTCCAGTCCACCGCAGGTACTGGTCAGGTGGGCTTGTCTCTGGCAAGGCAACGAGCACCCTTGGTCTTTTACATTCTTGGGACAGATCAACCTGACAGGAGATAAGTGCAGTCCCTGGAGCCTGCCCCAAAGTGTTCTAGCCCAGGAATGAGCCATGGGACCCTGCTTAGAGCCATCCTAGGCCATTTACTTGACAAATAACCAGTCAGGTCTGTCTGTAGCTGATGGGTATGGTGATGAGGATACAAGCTCCAGCTTTGGAAATCTGAGCCTCAGATTCCCAGGAGCTGATGGGCAGGCATGGCTCTGAATTGGCACTGGTTTTTAGCTCTTTCTGGAGTGCCTGCTCATGGCTGCTGGGCTATGAGCCATTCCTTTCTGTCTGTCAGAATATATACTGATCTGTGTATTTTTTTTCTTGAAGCTTTGTTTGATTCAATGATTGGCAGCCAGATACCAGGAGACCCCTTCATGTCCCAGCAAATCCTGTCATCATCGTCCTTGCCATTGCGCCAGCGTTCGGATAAGCCCCCTTGGTGTGAGTGTGCTCCCCTTTCTGTCAGGGACAAATGTGAAGGGGAAGGAGGGAAGTTTGTGAAGTCAGCAAGGTCAGGGAACCAGTCTGGCTGAAAACAGTTGTTTAATTCTCCTCCTTTACTGGAATTAGATACAATCTAGGCATTTCTGTAGTTTTGCTTATTGTGCAATATAAAGCAGGAATAACCATTAGTAGAGAATATTTCTTTCTCTAGTGTTGACTCTCAGTACTCAATACTCAGTGTGTCAGGAACCAGGATGAGCACCCTGAAGCTGGGATTGTTCCATAATAGTAAGGAAATGAAATAAATTTGTATTCATTTTCAAGCCAAACATCACATTTTGTACTGTGAGAACAGAATCCACTCTTGGCTGTATGCCAGCATAGCACTGGATTACAAGATGGAATTGTGCTTTTTGTGCTTGGGTCTTCATCAGCTGAGCTGCCAGAAATGCCCAAGACCAGCTGTGAGTCCCTGACAGGTCACTTGGCACACAGACAGCCCTCACCTCTTGGTTGTAGAACTGCAGGGCTGTGACGGTTCGGGTGGGGAAATACCAGCTACGTGTTTTAAGATTTTTCTTCCTCTTTGCAGACAGCAGTGGCCCCTCCAGTACTGTCTCCAGTGCAGGCCCATCCTCCCCAACTTCCGTGGACAACTGTGCTCGTTTCAGCTTTACTGAGAAACTTTCTATCAGCCCCCCAAAAAGTGAGGAGCAGCTGACCAGCCGGTCCCCTGAGCAGGAAGAGAGTCAAGCTCCAGGCAGAGGGCTCGACATACAGGGGGGCATGTCTGAGCTGTCAGTAGCCGAGCCAAGTGCCCCTGAGACACTCATCTGGAATAAGGGCCCAGAGCCAGGCAGGATCCTGGAGCTGTGCAAGAAGGAGCTGTCAGAAGAGAAGAGCATGGGGGAGCTGGATGAAGAAAAACCGTCTGAGGAAATATTAGAGCCAAGAAACATAGGAAACTCAAAGTGTGGTGAAGGGTTTGACCTGAGGCTAGTTGGGGAGACAGCAAAGCTAGATGAGGGGTCTGTTAGGGGAAGGACTGGCCTGGATCAGTCTGGGCTGTCCAAGGAGGTCCTGGTGCCGTGTGAAGAGGAGCTGCTGGGAGAGGTGTTGGACCCAGAGCATACAGGCAAGGAGCTGCTGGAGGACAGTGTTTTGTCAGACCAGCTTCTCTCTAGTCACCTGTGCCAGGTGCCACCACTGCCTCCTGAGAAGAATGTGGAGGAACTGCAGCTGCTGTATCAGAAGGATCAGCAAAATTAGTGGCTTACTGGACAGCAAGCACTTCTAGCCTGAAAACAGCCCAACTTCCTGCATGGCACCTTACACAGCTGGTGGTCCATAGCAAAGAAGCCTTGTCCCAGGGCCACAGGACTCTGTGGTGTGGAAGAGACTGCTTTGCTCCTCCACAAGCCAGTTCTTTGCCATTCAGCAAGACTGTTTGCCTCGTTAAATGAACAACAATGCAATCTTGGTACCGGCATGGCACCTCCATGGAGCAGGGACATGGTGCTGCACTGGTGTTCCAAGGGCTTTGTGCTCACTGGGACAGCAGCATTAGAGGACTAGTACAGCCAAGGCTTTTAGGGTGGTACGTCTCCAAAGGGGTCATATCCTTCCTTGTGACTTTTTGGCCCACATCCTTCAAAAAAAGACGTTTTGGGCCCCAATTAATCAGATCCATCACAACCACAAACCTCCTCTCTGTTCCTTTCTTCCTCTCTCAATTCCCACTGCTGGCCACCAAAATCAGGTCCATAGAGTCCATGGCAGGAAAACTAGCAGAGGCAGAAAGCATTCTGAATGAGTGTGGAAAAGAAGGGTAGTGAGGGCATCAGGTTTTAATGCCACTTGCAAGGAAACATCTCTTTGGCTTGGCCTTGGATGTTTCCCTGCTGGGCTGGGGCAGGCAGGAGCCTGGGGATTCAGCCTGAGAGAGATGTGCAGGGAGGACACATACAAGTTGGTTTTTTTCTCATCCCCAAGGATCATGTAGGGTACAGCTCTGAAGTCTTGGTGACAGGGATTAAAAGAAACTGCTATTTTGATAATTCAGGACTATTAGACATCAATAAGGAAAAATCTTTATTATATATAAAATGAAAATTATTTAATGTATATTTATGTAAATGCCTCGTGAGCACAAGCCTGAGGGCAAGATTGATACGGGTGTCCCTGCCGCATCCTGAGTGCTGGCCAGGGCTGTGCTTCCTACTCCTCCTGTATTTATGGACAAATCTGTGTGTCCATCTGTAGCTAGGATCTGTGTTTTTGTGAAGCTGTGCCCAAAGATCTATGCTGTGTTGTGACAATGTGTGTTCACAGTAAATCCATGCTGTGGGTCCAGTGTCTCTCTGTCTCTGATGTTGACTAGGCAGCAGCGTGTATGTGCCAAAACTTACAGGTGCCTGGAATAGTAAGCCCTGCTCATGCTCTGTTGTCCCAGAAGAGCAGCTGTAGCTAGAGTCACACCTGGAGCAATTGCACAGGCTCCAGGCCAGGAAAAAAACCCCATTTTCCTACATGGGGGAACTGGTCATACTGGGAGGAGCTCCTGGCATGCCAGGTCTCAGGGGAGGTTTGTGGTAGAATGAAGACACTGGGATGGTGTTTTCAGCTCCTTTCACTTGGTCCACACCTTCCTCTCACTTCAAGCACAGCCTGGGTGTCATGTCCTTTTCCTCATGCCCAGTAATCCTGAGCTGCCAGTTTGGGCACGTAAGAAAGGTCATGTTTACTTGCACTGGAAACAGAGCAGTCATGCAGCTGCCCAGAGTGCAGCACTGGGTGGGAGGGTACCCCTGCCCTGCGCTCTGCTCTCCCTGCATCAACATCTGCACAGAGACCTTGGCCATGGCCACCCCTGGCCCCAGCACTGGCTTAGGGACCACAGGTGACTGAGCAGCATGAGATTTCCCCTCAGACACTACCCACAGTCCTTGCCCTGGACCTTTGCATGGGCAAAGGCCTGTGGCACCTGCTGCCACCAGCACTGGCTGACACAACTGAGCACCAGCCACCATCTCCTGCCAGGACCTGCATGCTTCTGTTGGAGGACAGTGCCTGGGCAGGGTGGTTACCACGATGAACCCAACAGCAACTGCTGCAGGGTGTCTTTGCCAAGAGGGGTGTGGAGCAGGGCCCTGTGGGGTGGGCATGTGGTTCTCAGGTGACCCCTACAGAGCCCGATGCTTGTCACTGCACACCTTTGGAAAATGCACTGCAGTCACAGGACCTTGATTAGCTGGAGTATGGCCAGAGACAGTGCTCATTTCCCTGAAAAGTAGCTGTGTGTGGAAATAGTTCCTGGTTTATGGGAACAGTTCGTGGGTCCTCCCATCAGCACCAGGTTTGGCAGCTGTCCTGAGCTCTCCATCAGGCCCTGCACAGGCTGTGGTGTGCTCTGTGGCAATGATGGCCTCTCTCCTGAGGACTGTAGCACAGAACCTGCTTTCTTTTTCCCTGACATCCACCTGTGCCATGGTTTCCTTCTGAGGACAGGCAGGCAGGAACAGAATAACTGGGCATCAGCCTCTTCTGTGTTCCAGCACAGGAACAGAGCTGCAGCACAGAGCAGCAGCTGTCCTAGTTTTCTGGTAAGTAGCTGAAAGAGCTGAAAGACAGTGAATTCCCCTGTTGGAGGTCAGGTCAGAGTTCTGCAGAGGTGTAAAAGCCCAACTGCTGCAATGGGGTCAGGCAGCATGAAATCCCAGGTATGCAGGTCCCAAGCCAGCAGGTGTGCTGCCTGCCACAGGGCTAGAGACCCTTGCAGTTCAAAGAGAGCCAGCAGCACTGGGCAGAGTTGAGACCCATTCCCAAAAAGTGCAGGAACAGGAAGGGGGCTACAGTGGAATGCATGATTTGGGAACTGTGAGGAGTGGTGGTGTTGCATGGCAGACAGGCCACACCAGGCTCCTCTCTGGATTATCAGGAACTGATTTCCCTCCCACAGCCCTTAGCCAGCTGTGCAAGAGTCCCTGATGTTCCCCAGGAGGGACACACTAGTCACCCTCCTGGGGCCAAGCATGGAGGGCTGGCTGTCCAGACTGGCTCTGTGGCCTTGTGTGCATGTCCCTTTGAGTCACAGGAAAGTTCAGCAGCTGCTGGTGAGGGTGGGGTGTTGATGGAAAAGCTGGGGTTCGCCTGAGCTGGGAGGCATGGGAGGGTGGCATGGCAGCCATACCTGTGTGCTCCTGCCTACGAGCGTGGGCTCACTGAAAGAACAGCTGGAAACCACTGGAGATGTTCTCGTTTGCAGTTAATGTGGCTTTATTATTAACGTGTTGGGCTCCTCTCTTGACAGCAGTTAGTTACAGAGTGTTTCACGTGGAAATGGGCAAAAGGACAGAACTCAAGGAACTAAAGTCAAATAGAAATATGATTCTGAAGAAAAGAATTAGGGCTCTCTTCTTAAAACATTTAGCATAGAAGAAGCTAGGAGCACAAGATGCCATTTCAATACAGTTAAGACGTTCACTTTTTTAATTATAGGTTTAAAATAGTATTTTTTACCTATTACATACAGGAAGAGTACGCGTTGTTGCCCACATGCAGAAACAAGCAAAAGCAGAGTTTAACTGTTTCTCTCTATTAATGTTGTATTACCTCTGGCTCCGGGTGGGTCCTGCTGGCTCCTGTGGCCTGAGCAGGGTCAGACTCTACAAATCAGCATTTTCATAAGTCTTTTTCCCGTAGTTTTTTTTTTTTAAGATGGAAAGGGGTGGAGGGGAGAAGGAAATAGGGCATGAGAGAAGCTCAAGGCAGGACAGACTGCAACAAAAACTGAAAATAATGTAGAGCCTTGAGGACAGGGAAGTAAACTGGTGTAGGATAAAGGTAGCTAAGCAGCAGAGCTGCAGAGGGCAAGAGCAGAGCGTGGAGGGAATTCCTCCTGGAATCCACCCGTGGCTACGCTCCTGCCCAGAGGATGCAGGCACCTCACAAAGCCTCACTATTAATGCTGCTTAGTCAGAATTGCTTCAAGTTTGAAATTGAGAAAACATTCATGTGTGGGTTTATCTAAAGTTAGTGCATTAGCTTTTACATCTAGCTACGCAGAGGGAGCCCAGGAGGGCCATGCTTGTGCCTCTGGTGTCTGGCATCCGGCAGCTGCCACTGTGGCGGGTGAGCCAGGGTCTCTCCAAAGCACTGCAGGCAAAGCCCCCCAGCATTCCCAGGAGGGGCAGGTGCAGGTGTTTTAGTGCCTGCAATTGCCAGAACCAACATTCATGAATGCTGACCCCATCAGGGTACAGAGAATGACATTTATTATGCTGGCAGACACGGTGTGATTTCATGGTTAAAATGAACACAGCACAGGGCAGGGATTTGCTAAAAGCCCTGAGTAAGCTCACATACTCCTAACAAGGGCCATATCCAAAGAGCTGGCTGTGCCTTGGGGAGGCTGCTGGCCTCAGGCCTTGTCCTACAGCTGCTGGGTTTTAGACATAGCCTTGGAGAAACATTTTTGTTGCCCACAAGTTCTCTACGGTCTTTTTGTTTTGTTTAAATTGCAGCATGTTAGTATTAGTACTGAGAAACCTCTGAACTGACACTAAAAGGACATGGTATCATGTTAACATGTATAAATTAAAATATTAAATCAACACAAAATGCAGCTTAACATTAAAAAAATAAATATATAAATTAAAATGCAAAATAGACCATTTCCCTAGAAACTCCATTTTAGTGCTAGGAGCAGGTTTCTAAGCAGCATTTTCTTCATGGCACCTGCCAGAAAACTAGCACTGAGACTGAAGTGTCCCAGGCAAGTGCAACACAGGGCTCAGGGATGCTCATGGTGGAGTCAGCCCTCTGCTCAGGGCCAAGCACAGTGGGTGTCACAGCAGATGGAAACACTTTGTGCTGTCAACCATTGCAGCACAGCTTTCCATCTCATTCCTTCTTCCCCAGAACACAGCCTGCTGCCACTCTCTCTGTCTTACAGAAAGGCTGTCTTTGTGGTAAGATCGTCTGTCAGGTCTCTTGGACGTGGCAAATGCAGCTCATGGATGCTGCAGGCTTCGTGCACCTGAACACCTCACTCCTTGCTGGGAGAACGTGTCTCCCGTGCTGAAGCAGGTCTGTGTGCCAAGGAGGTTCTGGGTGGCTGTTCAATAGCCACACTGCACTCGTGGCACAAATTGGTGTTTCTGCCAGGACATCCAGAGAGCAAGGACAGATGCCCACAGATGCATAGGCCAGGGAACAAGCTGCAAAGTGGAACCACAGGGATGAGCAGTACCTCACCTCTGCTGTCAACACATCCCTGCCACAATGAGGAGGAACTGAGAATGACTACACTTGATAAACTACTTTTTCCCGAGTATTTTGGGAAGGGCCTTCTCTTCCCTCACACCACAAGTTCTATTCCCCACATCCTGGACACTTGCGGGACAACAAAAAGCTTGAACACAGCTATAAGGCTTGGACCCTGGCACACAGGCAGCGAGGAGATGGCTGCTGCATGCAAGCTGGCACACCACAGCCACACTAGCTGGGCACCAGCCCCCAGCATGGCCTGCATGCTCCTCAGCTGCCTCAGCACAGTCCTCCAGAGCCTTTGGTTTAGGGACAGGGAGGTTTCTTGTACATCCTGGGCCAACAGTGGCCAAGGTTTTTTTCAGCCCTTCTGCTGTTAAGGGGGCTGTAGTTGTGCGTTTGGATGCTCTTTTTGTGTAACTGTTTAGGCTACAGCCTCTCTGTGCCTCCTCCTGCCACACAGCTGGTGGGCAGGAGTCAGCTGGCTGCTGTGTGTGCAATGCTCAAGTTAGCAAGTTAGGAATGTGCTGAACCCTCCCCTCCCACTGCCATGTCCTTCATCCCAGCTCCCTGAGCACAGCAATCAGGTGGTGCAGGATGCCACAGGAAAGCACTTGGGACAGAAATCTGCCAATCTGGCATGTGGTGGTCATGCCTAGTTGGAGTACAGGTCCTCTTGCTCAGAACACCTCCTGTATGCTCAGGAGAGGAGATGGAAGAATGACCTTCACTGTCATATTACAGTCAGAGGGTTTTGCCTTCCCTCATCTCCCTGGTGCAATTTCTTTGCAAGTTAGATTTCGCCTCTGCCCCCTGCCTCCTGTGCACTCTCTGCATGCAGCAGCAGCAGCAGCAGCACTTCAGCCCTCACCAGAAAGGTGAGGTTCATGGTGCTACAGGTTAAATGGCAAGGCAGCCAGGAAGAGAGTAGAACAAGCTCTCACAGCAGCAAGGCAGCCAAGATAGTCTACAGAAACTGTACAGGCAGCAGAATAAAGCAGGGAAGGTGAAAGTGCCCCTGGCCTGCAACTGCTCTTGCACAAACTCTTAGCTCAGTCCAGAAAATTACAGAGCCCTGCACTTCTTCCTC